TTATTATTATTATTATTATTATATTAAAGGCTTAGAAACCCTCTGGTCTGGTCTGGTTTATCCTATCTGTGTATTTGTTGAGCCCGAATTCAGTATTGTTTTCTAGCTTTTAACCATACAAAGCAAGCATACTGAAATATACCTGTAACATCTGTGCTGCAGGAATAAAAAATATTGGGGCTAATTTCAGCAAAGAGAACATTTTATAAGTTTTGTCTTTTGTCACTGTTCAAGTATACAGAAGTTTGTGTTTTTGTTTTTGTTTTAAATTCTTTTTTCTTTTTCTTTTTCTTTTATTTCTTTTAGTTTTTTTAGTTTTTTTTCTTCGTCTGTCTTGGATGCAATTTCTTTTTGATTGTTTTATTATTATTTCCAAGGCAATGTTTTTGAAATGATAGTATATGTTGATACTTTTTAATTTTTGTATCTTTTCATGGCTTAATTGTGCTTTAACTTATGGTCTTTTGATAAGCGTTCTTAAAAGTCTTTTCTAATCCTATGTTTAATGATAAAATGTCTTGTATATCGTCATAAGATGCAAGGGAGTAATTGAATGCTTATATGAACAACGTTATCCTTGTACAACTGAATAGACATGGTTCTAGTTTAGACTAATAAGTAATCAAGTATATGGCCCTTTTTATATATTAAAAAATCTAAGGGTTTTTCTAGACCAGATCTACCGCTCGGCACCGGCATATGGAAACGTTTTGGTGGTTTGGTGGTTTTAGACAAGAAGAGAAATCGTAAGAGGTGAGAAAATCCCGAAAACCGCCCCAAAAAAGTCAACGACCAGTTTTATTGTTCAAATTAACTCCACTCTCTTCAAACCCCAAATTAATTATTTTGCACTTCAACAAATTAAAAATCCATTGAACTAAAACTTAAGTCATTAGAATTCTGTCTAAGGAAAGAATGTCTTTTTGTTTGAACAATGCATTTGTAGCGTTACCTCAACAACCTCAGAGCTTTCTTTGTTAGGCATCTAAATCTAACTCTTGTGGTACTCCAAACTGTACATGATATTGTGGCACGAACGCTAATTACGAAAATGAAACAATATTTTCAGCAGAAACTAAAGAAAAACAACTGCACTGACTTGGATTTCAATACATACAACAATATCAATATTAGAATATTTTTTAGACATCAATTTTTACAATACCAATTGATCATTTTAGGAAAACAATTTTTCATCCTAAGTGGCCGTTCAAAATCAAAGTGGAAAATTATATATTTAGACTGAAGTCGTCCTATAACGACTTCTTACTTAATTGGCAAGTTTAATTGAGTTCCAGTATTACCCGTGGAAGATCAAATCTATACTTTCCTTGTCTTGCAAGGTGGTGTTCTTTGTTTGTGGTGACTGGAGATGTCGGAGAATAGCAGCCTAGGATCAGTCGGTGACCATTTAATCCTAGCACATAGAACTGCGTACAATAAAACTTTTTGATGATAAACTTTAATCTCTAGCTAATTGCCAGATAAGGATCAAAAAATGGAAAGAAGTACAATTGACGAACAAAAGTACAAAATTTTTAAAGTAATTGTAATAGAACCAAAAAGCAATGAAAACTTAATTACGTAAATTGAATAAATATATATTTCTACAAAAATTGAAATGGCTAACAAAGATTTTAGGAATTTTTTTTATCGGCTTTCGAATTCATAAAATGAAGTGTATTTCTTTTGAAACTTAAAATAATAATAATAGTTAATAATAAAGACTTTATTGGTAAAAAAAGGCATTAGATTAAATTGAGGCCAAAATGTCAAGCAATGTTTTTTAATTTCTTAACATGCTCCGTCAAGAAATTGCCGTATTGCTTAGTCTGACGTATGACGGCCAACAAAGCGAGAGGTCCTTAACACTCAGGAGGCTGACTTAGATCAGCCCGGAGGTTGTTTCAGGGTTTGATCTGTGAGTTAGCCGTGCCCTGACTTTGAACAACCAAGAAGTTGTTTCAGGGTTCGATAAAATTTGAAAAATTAGATATAGAAACTACCGTCCTAAAATGTAGCATTTATCGTAATTGCTTTCATTCAAAATGATTCTTGGTTTACTGATCCTTTAGTAACCACCCTTCGAAGTTGTCAGTTTATTGTAAATAATGACTAACCTATGCCACTTCAAGACTACTAACTTTTAAAACAACTAACTCTCACTAGAAAGTTTTGGCAACTTGTAAATCGAAAAAGACATCTTTATGAAGGTTAAAGCTCGCAGTAAAAAGATACATCTCTGTCTTTGTAGAAAAAGATAAATGATTCCCTTAACTTTTGTTCAAATAAATATAGCCAATATCCGTGAATGGTTGATAGGCTTTATGTTTGAAAAAGTTTTTTTTAAAAAGTTGTCTTTACAGGTGACACTTTTTGAGGTTTAAACTTTCAACAAAAGCAGTCTTTTAGTCATGTCAAATCTTGTGTCGTGTAAATTAAGTTGGCAGCCATAATTTCGCAATCCTCTTCTCTTTATTCTTTAAGCATTTTGTTTTGAAACGCTTATGTACATTGTGTCCTTTGCATCTTCAAAACAACGCACTACAGTATTTGTCTCGTTATAAAGTACAATTTATAAGAATTTCCGTAGCACAAACATTTATGCCTTGTTTATGTCCATATTCTGACTTGGTAACATTGGATCAGTTTTCGTTGCTATTTCAATTAGTAACACTTTTTTATTTATTGTCAAAGTCATGGTGGAACTATTGAGATTTCGCTCGAGCATTGGCCACCCGCAGATTGAGAGCATAACATTTTGACTTGGTAACATCCAAAAAACATTGGATCATTTTTCGCTGCTATTTCAATTATTCTTCATCTATTGTCAAATTCATGATGGATTTATTGAGATCTCGCTCGAGCGTTGGCCACCCGCAGATTAAGAGATTACATTGTCTTATTATGAGACTAAAGACAAACAGTTGTAGTAGATGGAAACTTATTAAATGCTCTCTGGCGTCATAAAGCCTGATTGGCTGGGCTGTTGAGCGATCATTTGGTGAAAGGCAATGCGAAATTTTCGTAGCAAATAAGACTACAATGAAATTACATTATCAAATAATCTTCATCCAAAATAGATGGAATGCCTTTACCTATATCGTTCAATAAACCGTTTTCTCAAGGTTGCGTGCGCATCCAACTTGACGGGCCACAAAACTGAAAAACGCAAATCCATTAARATTGAGAAGACAGTTGAAAGAGGAGAATAATCGATTTAATGGATTCTTATCGAAAACATTCATAGCAATGCATGATAATACTCATTATAAAGCTCGTGTTCTGGTCTCGTGGCCCGTCAAGTTGTTTAAATTTGGAGGCGCACGCAACCTTAAGAGAACGGTCTAATAGACTAGTACTTCCTCAAGAGCGTTGGCAGTCTTTAATCGTAAAACCGCCGATCTTCGTAGTCTTAAAGATATCAAACCAAAGTAAAGATTTGAAGAYCGTGCCGTTGCTACTTAAAAAAATAATATGCATCATGAGGATCAAACTATGGTCCTCTTGCTTGCAGTCAAAAATGGCYTTTTTTTTGTATTCCCCATAATCATAACGTTAGAAAATGGCCAAATATTACCTATTTTGAATCCCCAATGAATTATGCCGACATATCTTTTCAAAATGTGTGAAAATGGCAAAAAAACGGTTAAAACCATGGGTTATAGTCCATGCTTTATTTAAAGAATTAATCATCTTTATTCAATTTATCAACAAATAATTTCCAAATATAAAACTAATCCCTTAGTAAAATCCAAATTTAAAATAGAAACAGTTAATAAAAGACAACGCTGACAGAGAATAAGGCTACATTAAAATATCATAAAATTCAAACTTATAAAATAATCATACTCTAAAACTAATTCAAAAAAACGTTACTAATGTTTGATATATCAATGAACTAAAAAACATTTGCTGTATTTACATATATACAAAACTAAAGTCTTCTATGAAGTCATTGTGAGTGCGAAATGGTATTCGTGAGCCTCTAACACTCGTATGGACAGAACTTAATATCTCAAAAGACAAGCGTGCACTTAACCACATAATAAGCCTGAAGCGAGATGACGTTTTACCCCCGGCTCTATACCATAATAGTTTTTAAAATTCTTTCATATTAAAATTTTTGGTTCCTTAGAGAATACAGGAACAATAGTCATAATTAAAAAACAAAAGCAGTGTGAAAAGGATTATGGTCTAGAGACGGGGGTAAAATCATCTTGCTTCAGGCTTATTACTGTAGCGTACGAATCCCCGTTCTTTCTCGAAAGTTTCTCGCTCCCATTCCGCCATTAGTGTCAAAGACCACAGGTGTAATTGTTGTTATTTCGCTGTTGATATTTCCTTTTCTTTTCGTTCTCTTGTTCTTTGAAGATCGTTGACGTCGGCTTGTTCAGGTTGCAGTTGGAGTTAACATATGCTACACGGACATCAAAGAATGCTGTAACTTCTCGTACAAAGAACCCACCGCCCTTTGCTTTACAACTGAAAAAGGTCAAAAATGACCTTCTCTGCATCGTACATAAATAATGCATATTTTACTAAAAGATGCGAAAATGGCCCAAAATCCATCAAAACCATGGGCTATAATACATGCTTTTTGCCCAAAAATGGTCAAAAATTACCTATTTTGCATCCTTCATAAATAATGCATATTTTGTCAAAAGGTGTGAAAATGGCCCAAAATTGATCAAAACCATGGGCTATAGTCCATGCTTTTTGCCCAAAAAATGGTCAAAAATGACCTATTTTGCATCCTTCATAAATAATGCATGTTTTGTCAAAAGGTGTGAAAATTGCCCAAAATCGATCGAAACCATGGGCTATAGTCCATACTTTTTGCCCGAAAATGGTCAAAAATGAACTATTTTGTATCCTTCATAAATAATGCATATTTTATCAAAAGGTGTGAAAATGGCCCAAAATCGATCAAAACCATGGGCTATAGTTTATGCTTTTTGCATAAATATGACTAGAAATGACCTATTTTGCATCCTTCATAAATAATGCATATTTTATTAAAAGGTGTATAAATGGCCCAAAATGGATCAATGGTCGTGTAGAAATGAATTGGGTTTATGCCAGCATCTTTTCCTGAGAATAGACCATGACCTTAGCTTAATTTTTCAAGGTGTGTTAATATTTGGGTTGTGTGATGTAATATTTATAACCAATAGCAATGGTATTCTCTTATTAGTCTAGTAAGTACTTGGTATTCACAGTAAAATAGATAGAGTAAGTCAATAGAAGTTGATATTTATATCATTATAATTACTTACAAATACTATGGATTGTGCTGTGGAAATAAAGTGATATTGATATCGGCCACCCTAAGGTCACGGCACTGCCGGACCAATCACATGGTGCGAGAAAAAAACCCAGAAAATCAAACTTCTAGGAAACATAACGGTCGCAGCAAGGCACGCATACGGCACGGAGCTTTTCACAGCCATGTGAAAACTGCTTTAAGGTCCATGGTTTATTAGCCTGAAATACAGCCTATCCTAACCCCCCACCCCCCCGCCGAAAAAAACGAAATCTATTTTTTAGCTACCCGATTCCCAATTCTGAGATACRAAAATTTCTGCTAGAAAAAAAAGCAAAACATGTTGAAAGCACTTTTTGAAATATTATCCCAAATGACGATTACTAATGAATACTAAAAACCAAATACTAAGTCGTCTCACTTATATGAGCTGAAAAGCATGGTGCAGATGGACCTAACTACAAGTGAAAATTTAAATGTAAAGGAATATTTTTGTTCTGGAAGGAAGATTACTCTAGCTTCTTTTCCAGTTGTTTACATTGAATTATGTCGTTTTTCTCTGGTTGGTGCTTGACACAATTGTATATAATTTCAAACAAAGTTATATTTACAAATGAGTCCACTATTGAGACATTACTGAGAATTACTCAAACTTGTCAAAGATCTACTTTAACGTTTCTTGACTCGATGCTACAATAAATCAACATTGTTTCACTTGGCCTGCATGTGTGCAGCCCGACTTTGCTTGGATGCACAGATCAATCAGAAGGTGTATAAGGATAAACTGATATAGCAGTTAATAGAGCTCTTTAACTTGGGCGTAATGTTTTCCCATTTCAGGCCACGTGTCATTTTCTTGAGTATCATTTCTTTGCTAACAGTTGCGCATGAGAAAAAACATGAATAGGAATAGTGAATGACACGTGGTCTTAAATGGTGGAAAAAAATTAGACCAATGAATATTGCACCGTCTTAAGTGGGAATTAAATTCGGGCTGTACAAAGGCATGGTTTTGCTTGGATTTAGAATGTGGAGTAGTCTAGTAGGCTATTCTATAAGATAACACAGGCAGCACTCTCATTCTTTTGCTGTCCTTGTACAGGTACTTTGGCGTTTACTGTTGCTGTATTGGCATTAGCGTCTCCTACTATCGCTCTTACGTCAGTGAGCTATTGGTAATAGAAAGAGAGGTGCAGGTTAGTTAAAGCTACAGCTTAGCTGGGTTCATTTGTAAGGTTGAAGATGTATATCTGCCATATTGGGGTGAAATACTCACGATATTCATCTCTATCGAAACTTTCCCCTTCATTATCATATCTGTATCATCATCATCATCATAGTCACCACTATCATCGTCGTCATCATCATCATAACCATCCTGATCATCATCACTATCCTCATCATTAACATCACCGTCATCATTATGCGTGTCATCATCGTCGTTGTCGTCACCATCATCACCGTCATAGCATCATCAACAGCATCATCATCATGATCATCATCATGTCATTAATATTATCATTATGTACCATAATCATCACTACCACAGGAATGTTAAGTTACTTACCGCCACAGCGATGTGTCCTTCTTTTTCTCTCTTGTCACAGAGCTCACGAAGCTGTTGCTGTTGATATCAACAAATGCGTAAAGAGTTAAAAGCATGAAAGATTTGAGGTGCTTTGTGGATGAATTGGTTGCAAATGCTTTTTATAAATAGAGTCTTAGAAAGTAGGGTTGAGAGTTTGCACACAATGTGAGCAGAAACATTGATCTTAAAAGAACTGCACAAGATTCATGGCAGAAACGATGGAACTTGTTTTAGATACACTGGTTCTTGACTGACCCTTTACTTTGTTTGAAATAATTCATTTTTGTCTGTTCAATTATATTCAGATAAATACGGTTACACTTTCGTTCATGCCTCGAACCACCATTGGACCAAATTCAAATGTGTAAATATACAACTGCATATAATAAAAAAAAGTAAATAAACAAGTTGAAGTTGAAGTTGAAGCGATGTTTTCCCATTTCAGACCACCTGTCATTCCCTTGAAAATACGATTCTTAAAGAAATGACACTCTAGGGAACGATACGTGGTATGAAATGGGAACACACAGGGTTCGTGTGAAGTAATCACTTAAAATTCAAGGACTATTCAAGGAGTATACAAGGACCCAAAAATGAATTTTCAAGGAGTAYGTTCAGTTAAATATGCCAAGGTCTTACACGGTGGTTGCACATGGCCGACTTTCAGTTTTTCCAATCTTTCTGACTAGATCTATTTCAGAACCATGCAAGTAATGATCAAAGCAAAAATTCAAGAAATGTTCAAGGAGTTTCGCTAAAATCGTAAAATTCAAGAGCTTTTCAAGTGCCCCTGCAAACGTGAATTAAAGTCAAAGAGTTTTCAAGGAGGTTAAGGAGTAGCACGAACCCTGAACACATTACGCCTAAGTTGTTGGTTTATTGCCAAGCAAATAGGGGACTTAGGATATGTGACAGACATAACGTTCTTCAACGAGTGAAAGATGGACTTCAGTAAGTTATGAGAAACTCACCAGTTTGTGTTCCAGTCTCTCCTTACGTCTCTTCATGGTGGCCATGTCTGAAACATTCATTAATGTAGGAACATTTCCCTGTTTGTAAACAAAAAATTACATAAGAAATGGTTTTTATTATATGTTCAGGTAGATGATGCCCATTTATTGGATCGAAGTCAACTCCTACACATGCAGTGGGAGGGATGTACGAAAATGGGGTCATCATTGATCACTGATGATTAAATACGAATTTATCCCCAAAGAACGTTGACCTTTCATTTTTACTGACCTTTGACCCTTTAGCCATGCCCTTCTTCATGTTCTCTGCCTTCATGATCGCCTTGGTGTCCTTTCCTTCCTTGGCAGCCTTGTTGACAGGATGTTTCTCTGCTGCATGTTTTCCCCACACCTGAATAATTACTGACTTCTTCATCAGATAATCTATAAACTGCGAAACAAAAAAGAGTAAAGTTGTTAACTAAATTGTTTCTATATTAAAAGGGACATTCCTGTTGGAATGAGGAATGTGCCAGGAAACAAAAGCGCTTTATTCCACGCGCAAAATGAACAGAAACGATATCCTTTGAAACAACCAATGCGCTAAGTCACTGCGCTCGAGCCCGGCAYGATGTCTTACCTGTTGATTGACAGAATCAAAGTGGAATTTCCTTTCATAGTTGAAGTCGGGGTTGATTGTTCCTGAGATTTTCTCTGTTTTGGGATCTTCATCAAGATACATTTTGTAACTACAATACACCTCCTGTTTTGATACAACAGATAACACCAGATTAGGTCAAAAAATGGCTTTCTGGGGGAGGGGTGGAAGTGTAAACTTTGTCCCGACAAATATCTTAATAATAATAATAATAATTTAATCACTTATTGTGCGCGCATTCCATACAATGATCATGCGCGCATTACAATAATAATATAATATATATATAACTATATAACTATTTACAAATAAGATGAATAAATATATTGATGAATACTAAAACAACTATCAAAATGCTAATTTAAAAAGGTGGGTTTTCTTTAAAACTAAAAGTTGAATTGCATGTACTAAGTTTTTAATATATAAACTATATAATACATTTGAGTATAGAAATATCCACTACAGACAACCAGTAAGCTTATACATCCTTTCAAGGAACCCATGAAAGATACTATTAATAATAATAATAATTGCTAAAATTTATATAGCGCTCGTACTGTACAATATTCAAGAGCGCTTAATAATAATATAATATAAAGTCAATAAAAATAGGAAAAATTATTTTTAAGAAATTGTTTAAGATTGAAATATAGGTTAAAGTGAATAAAGAAAATAAAGATAACAATAATAATAATAATGAAGTACAGTTATATGATAAATTGAAAAGGAATAGTAATATTACCGTGTATTTCTTGGGTAATCCACGAGCACTTGTGATACGCACTACAAAATCCATAGCGTTTCCAATCTGACATGACAGAGATGAAACAACAGTAGTAACTGAATTATTAATGATACTTTCGTTTATGTATTTATAATATATTCTTCCTGGTAAAGAAGTTTCCAAATGTGGTCCATATTGTTCTCTGTAGAGCAGTGACTGTCCAGGGGAGCAGTGACTGTCCAGGGGAGCAGTGACTGTCCAGGGGAGTAGTGACTGTCCAGGGGAGCAGTGACTGTCCAAGGAAGTAGTGACTGTCCAGGGGAGTAGTGACTGTCCAGGGGAGTAGTGACTGTCCAGGGGAGTAGTGACTGTCCAGGGGAGCAGTGACTGTCCAGGGGAGTAGTGACTGTCCAGGGGAGCAGTGACTGTCCAGGGGAGTAGTGACTGTCCAGGGGAGCAGTGACCGTCCAGGGGAGCAGTGACTGTCCAGGGCAGTGGTGACTGTCCAGGGGAGCAGTAACCGTCCAGGGGAGCAGTGACTGTCCAGGGGAGCGGTGAACGCGGCGCGCAAAGCATGAGTACACAAAATGACCGAGTGGACAAAAAGAAATTGCATGAGTGGAAAAAATGCCTTAAACATTTTTGGAGCTTGAAAGAACGAAGCAAACGTGGCGGTAAAGTGAAATCGTTTTTATTCTTTCTTTCCATATTTCCGCTTTTTATGGGCATGTATATTATGTTCTAATCAAAAGAAAACAAAAAAATATATAAAAGTTGGGTTACAGTAGTCTAGGGATAAGGACCGGCGGCAAAGCAGCTAAACGCACTCTGATTGGCTGAAACAAAATTCACCGCTCAGGTGAGACCGATTTGTGCATTTTCCCAGGAGATCTTTGCGGTTCTTACCACAGGGTTCCCACATGGTTACTAGAACAAAAGTGGTACACTCACCAGGTCTTGTGGATTATCAATAAACAGATCAGTGTCTTCTGTGATTTCTTTTCCTTTGTCGTCAAGAGGAACCACTTCAACCTACACAAAAAAATTACAATTAAATGAAAAAGAATGTTCCAAGCTATTGTTCTACCAATGTATGTCCAAATGACAATGGAGTTGTGAATAGAGGTTATCATGGCGTACTTACGTTAAGGTATCCAACTTCTTTTCCTCTGAAGTCTGTGATATTCAGTTGTTCTCTCATGTCCAGCTAGACAGATATCAAACAACAGTCAGTACATTGGGATATAAGGGTCTTTAACGCGCGATGTGAGACACACACAAAATGTGTTTCAATCGAGAGGGTCTCTTCAAATGTGACAATTTGTATTCATTTTTGAACACAAATTTGGTAAGATATGACGTCACTCTTACCACATATCCCAGGCTTTCCATTGGTACCTCGACACAGCCAATCAGAACTTCTACATCCGGGGTCTCGGTAAAGGGATCCTTTTCATCTGGTAGTGTCCAGTCCTCCCCTTCTTCGTAGTTACTGTACATCTCTTGCATCAGGTATTTCCTGTTGATGAACTTATTTTTGGGCCACAGCCATTCCAGTCCCGTGTCCAAGTTCTTCATCAGGACGTATGGCTACGATGAGATTGGAAATATTGAAAACTTATCGTCATGGAAACAAGAAACAAATACTGGTAGGAACTGTATCTAAATCAAAGTAGCATAACTATCACCATGGAAACAAGATATCACCATAGAAACAAGATATCACTATAGAAATAAGATAACACCATAGAAACAAGATATCACCATAGAAACAAGATATCACTACAGGAACAAGATATCACCATAGAAACAAGATATCCAATAAAAACAAGATGTCACCATAGAAACAAGAGATCACCATAGAAGCAAGATATCACCATAGAAACAAGATATCACCATAGAAACAAAATATCACCATAGAAACAAGATATCACCATAGAAACAAGATAACAACAAATATATGAAAATAAAAACTATAACCATAAAAACAACTGCAATAAGGAAAACGGAAAAACACTATATCAACAGCTAATATAACGACGTTATTAACCAAAGATCGCCATGGAAACGTGAAGAAATTAAAGAGAAAATGTTACCTCAGATTTTCCATCACATAGCCCACGTGCCTTAGCTGTCATGACGACGACCTCAAAAGAAACCTAAGAAAAGATACGCGTGATCAACAGCATATTATGAAAAATATAACCTATCCACAATAGACCAGTTTCGAATTCCAAATTACCGCTGTGTTCCTTGATTACAGACTCATTTGCACAGGGTTAGCCTCGCATCAGTGTTTAAATATTCACAAATACCAACGATAAAGTAAAGAATGCACAAGTTCAACAATACGAACACTTTAAAACTCGACGGACCTTGACTGGAACACCTGAATATTCTGCACAAACTCGAGGCTAACCCTGTGTAAATGAGTTTGTAATCAAGAAACACAGCGGTAATTTGGAATTCGAAACGGGTCTATTGCTCCCTTGTATCTTTATCTTGGGCTGATCTGTGGATTTGGCGGGAAATTGTCGCGCCAAAAGGCGCGCGCCCTAAAAAAAATCTGCGACCTTCGCTTTTTCCTTTTGCTCTACTCAGGTATGTTTCTCACTCATTCATTCAAAACACCTTAATTCCTTGAGCAGAGACCAAGTTATCTGCTTATGTATGTTACTTTAAACAGCTATTGAGCAGTTTCATACCTTTTTATCTAATTCCATACTGATAGCATTTGCTTCTTCTACCATTGGCACGAGGTCAACCAAGTCCTCTTGTAGTAGCATGGCATCTGGTTAAAATATCAAACAAAAATATTATAGAATAAATTATCTCCGTGGAAACCTTGGATACGTTCTGTCATTCTTGTGCCGTGTACTCCTAAATCTTAGGATGCGTATTTAGAAAAACAATAGAGCTATTACCATTATGACATATTAGAGCGAATTCGTATATCACACTTTAGCATGCTAATGAGGTCTGCTAATATTCAAATACAAAAACAATAATTAAAAAAGACACGAATTGGAAACACTGCACAACTGTTTGACGTTATAGGGAAATTAGAACATTTTATATCCATTATTTTATTAACAAAACATGAAAGTTTCAATTCATTCAAATAAATCATTCTACATTTCTTCGACGAATTTCTACAGTTTTTACTTGAAAAGTCTCTCTGTTTAGRGTTTTGTTTCGTTCTGATCACTGATGTATTTGTCTACTTTCAGAAAAAGCTGATTGACATTCTCCATCGTGCGCATAGCTTTTTCGTACATCTTTGCATGTGCGAGGTTAGCTTCTTTCGCTGTGTCTACTTTCCTCTTCTTCTTAGCAGAAGGTTCGATACTCTCGTCTTCGCTAGGAGATGAATCAGCAAAAGGTTCGATACTCTCGTCTTCGCTAGGAGATGAATCAGCAAAATTCTGATCCAGCCTTACCTTGAGGGCTGCAGCCCTTCTCTCATCTGGTGGCATTTTTCTTGAATATCTGGTTTGATTTGAAAATAGAAATTGTTTCTCCGTTCCAATCTCTCCTGACTCGGGGCCATAGGGCTGCTGCATAGCACTTTTTACTATGTATTGCATGCGTCTGGTCAGGGACTCGTCTGTTTGGGTTAAATACAGACAGGTTAACTACGTGTTGTGGCATGCTTGCTGCTACTCTCCAATTTTCTGTCGTGCTGTCAAGGCAACCTCTTTCCATCCTTTGCTGTTAAGAGTGTTGTAGCATTCAAGAACAACACTTTTTTCTTTCTCTCCAATTCCGACCCGACTTTTCTTGGAGGGAAATAAAATTCGTAATAAACAGCAAACTAAGTATGGTTGAGGGTTGATATCTAAAGCACCAACACAAAAGTTATATGTTTAGATACTGACCTGGCACGTTTGCTGAACAATTCATTGATTAGAAATTCGAAAGTAGTCAGCTGAGTGTAAATATGAATCCTCTTGCTCCGTACACAGCAAGCGCAAAATGTAAATTTATAGCGCACACGTGATGATTCACGTGCGAATGGCATGAAAAATGCCGTGTTTTATGTTGGAATGCGCATCTTCGCTCAGCAGTTCATGCAGCATGGATGAGCAGCAAGTCCGAGTAGTTCTTTTAAATATAGTCGCCTGGATATTGCTGTTTGTCGCCTTTATTAGGCCCATACCTCAACAAAATCTGTCTCCCTTACAACATCGTCTTTTTGAGAATTTTCACAGGAAAGTATATTTCGTGGTAGAGATGTGTTTTCTCTTATATCAAGGCAAGCGCACCTCTTCTGGCGGAACACTGGTGAAACTCCTGTGTCGTTTCTCAGACTTGCGAACGATATCCTCCCAACCTTGCAGGGCTTAAGATTAGACGGGCAACCCCGTGTACGCCAGAGGAGGAGACAAGGAGACGTAAATATTCTCATATAGACACTTTAACACTGTGGTTTGATATAGACCCTACGTCCGTTATCCGCATTATTTACAGAACGTTACCAGTAATGTGGAGATATTTTCAAAATCAAATCACCWGGCCAAWCCTCGCGGAGTGGAGAAATCTAATGGGCAGCTGGCCAGAGTTACCAAATGCCGTCGGTGCTATAGATGCAACCCCGCATGAGATTTATTGCCCTCTGGCGGAGCCTCAACGACCATTTTACAGTGGCCATGGGCACTATCACTGCCTAAACACTCAATTTGTAATGGATAATGAGGGCCATATTCGCTTTCTTCAGGCTGGCTTCTTGGGTAGCACACATGAAGCGACTGCTTATAGGTTAATGCAGCCTATAGGGCCCGGTTTAGTCCTAGATTTACCGCCAGGTGTTAAACTGTTGGGCGACAGAGGTTATCCTGATGGAGGAGCTCTACTAACACCTAATCGTGCAGGACAGATGCCTCTGTTAAACCAAAGAGGGAGGAAACGTGCCAGAAAGTTCAACCGAGCTCTATCGAAAAGAAGAGTTAATATAGAGCATGTGTTTAAAGAGATAAAAACTTTTAAAGCGGTATCTCAGATATGGAGACACCCACGTTGGTTGCAGCCTATCTGTGTTGAATTTACAACATTTTTGGCTGAAAGACGCATACGGTTGTTCCAAAGACTGCACTGAGAACTACCCATATCCTCTGCACGGTAAAAGTGAAACAAAAGTGTTGATGATAGTGAAAGGAAACTTGAATCGTTGCAGCAAACTTTGGTCTACTCAACAAGCACGTAGCTTAAAACGGGTTGACTTTAATTTGCTTAGTAAATGTTTGAAGGAMAAACAACGCCTGTTATGTTTCTATTGTACTGAGCTGAAGTTCGACACAGAAATTGTGTTAATTTGAAAATATCTAAAGAGATTATTTAACGAATCGATAATTAAAACACTTATTTTGTTAGCATACATTTATATCATGATGTTTGGAGTTTGGAATGGTTAAGGTTTGTGGGAGTATTTGCAAGGATATATTTGGTTCGAAAACAGCTCATTTGAATATTAGCAAAATTCATTAGCATGTAAAAGTGCGATATACGAATTCGCTCTAATATAGCTATTCCTATCATAAAAAATATTGCCGTGACCAGGATTCGAACCTGGGTTATTGCGGCCACAACGCAATGTACTAACCACTATACGATCACGGCTGAACACCACCACGACCGGTGATGCTTGTTATTGTAGCGTTAGAGGTAGTGTTACCTTAAACAGATCTCTTTACCTTGGGCTTAATGTTTTTCCATTTCAAACCACGTGTCATTACTTAAAGTATTGTCTTATATATAACGGTTGCGCATGAGAAAAAAAACATGGAAAACAAGTCAAACAAAGAATCTTATTCTCAAGAAAATAACACGTGGTCTAAAATTGAAAAAAATATTACGTCCAAGCTAAAGAGGTCTTATTTCATACTTTCCAATACAGTACCGTAAATTTCAAAATAATGCTTATTTTGGGCATTTTCTTCATCATTTTTCGTGTCAAATCCCTAGTCTAGCGGTTAGGATTCCTGGCTTTCACCCAGGCGGCCCGGGTTCGACTCCCGGTATGGGAACATTTTTTACATCTACATCTTCATCCGCGTCTATTTTCCCAATCCCCGTTAAAAGGGTGTGGATGGGGTTTAACAGTTAACTCACTGACAATTGGGCTAAAAATTAGTATTTAACTGAAAATAACCTAAAATTAACAGTTAACTGATATTTCCTTATTTTGGTTAACATTATAGTCAGTGTATGTGTTATTATTAACAGCTAACTGAAAATTGGTCTAAAAAATAGTCGTTAACTTACAATCATATAAGACATGATGAACAAAATAGATTTATACTCAAGCTAGTCCACAATGCACCGTGTTCGCTATTCCAAAAAAGGTTTATGGTACTTACCTCTGTTATCGTTCTCTTCCATCTCAAAGCCAGAGTTCTGTGCTATCTCCTCTTGTGCCATTTCATAGGTGATGGATTCTGGTTTGATGTTTGACTTTTCTGCTTGTTTTGGATGGTGGAAGACGTACAGATGATTGGAACCAAACATTACCCTGTGGGGAGGGGTGAGATGTGGTTTGTACTTGAAGAGGATTAAATATAGATAGACTCTTAACACTCGTCACATAACACTCACTCCCCTAAGTAACGCCACTACTCTTTAGGGGAGAAAGCGTTGCGTGACGACACTAATAGCTGCTGCGTAAAAAACTAGATGAAATATGGATGAACGGGATATTTTTCAGTAGAAAATAGCTCGTACATTTATCTCTTTCCTTCTTTCTTTGCTTCTTTTCTAATTATCTGTGAAGCTATCCTTTTCTTCACCCGCTAAGAGTGATAATTCCTATCTTTATTCACATATAGATTGCGTGACATCCATGAAAATAGTTGCGTGTCATTACCTGTCAAGGTGCTCTAGTTCTTCCTCCTCAGTGATTGGTTCCCCATTAACCAAGATTTTAGCATCCCCAATAGGATTGATAATCGTACGCCCATCCTTTGTGGTTACTTCGCAGTGTTCTTTCTCAATACTGAAGAGTCAAACACACCAAGCAAATTGAAAAACGTTATCGGCTCTGATTGGTCCATTTAAAAAAAAGTCGACCAATCAAGAATGATTATTTATGGATTTAAATATTGATGAAATATTTAACGCATATTTCGGAAATTATATATAGACAAACGATATTCCTTGCATGACTTACTTCAACCCAGCTAGTTGAATATCTGCTGGTGGATCGGCTTTCTTGTTACCAATCTTGACTTTACCTGGAAATACCACCAACATCCATCGATGATTAAAATGAAAATGAAGTAAATCCACCCCTACTCCCTCCCCTGTGTGTCATCTACTGACCCCTCCCCTCGAATTCTAAGGTGTGTGGCAAATACTAACTGTTGAAGAAAGACTGGTCACGATTTTGTGGTACATAGGATTGTGGGAGTGAATGGGACTGAGATACTTACCAGTCTCCCATGATTTTTGGAAATGGAATGAAAGGTTTTAGTAAAGTAGAATGTTATGACAGCCGCAAAGAAAGTTGTGATGATAATATTTTACCTTCCTTTAAGAGGTGTACAATCATTCCAGTCAGCTGAGAGTCTGCGTTCAAGTTCCAGAAGTGAGGCGTGGCCATGCGCTCTTTCCTCTTCGCCTCTTTGTCCTGGAGCAAATAAAAGAAATAATAATTTAATATAACAAGTAATAACTACAGCACACTGCAAGATCAGGATTTGTTGACTGGATGAGTATAGGTCACGCGCATATTTAGCGCCATATTAGGACGGACTCGCAAAATAGTGAAAAAAAATGGATTCCAAAGGAATTTACTCAATTTGACATGTTAAAATTTTGTATTCAGATTTGATTTACTTTACTCTCAGTATTCAGCCAATCAGAATCGGTGTATATACTCCTCGACCCGGAATTTAGCCAATCAGAGTCCATGTGTTGTATTGTACATATTTGAAAATGAGAGTGCTAAAGAGGATGAATCTTCACATACCACGGTTGCCTGCTGGGTCTCAGCCAGTTTATCTTCCCAGGTTTTATTCATTTCTTGAACTTCTTTCTCTGTGTCCGCCATCTTGGAAAGAAAAACAAAGATTTGAATTAGTCCTTCGACATAACTTGACTTGAAACGTTTTTAGTTGCTGTATACTTACCACTGCACACTGAATAGCACAGAGGATAAAACTAAGGTAGTATTACAATGATTATTATAGATTTATGGATATATTATAAGACAAAATACATCCACAAAAATATTCAAAATAAAGTTTTATCCACTTCTCCACCTTTTTTTAAATAAAATCTAGAATAACTTGTAAATATAAACTATTATGATTTTTTTATATTCATTTCTATTTAAAGTGTGTGAATAAATTGAATTGAATTGAACAATACAATAATGACAACGTTATTTGGTAATGTCATTTTTTCCAAAATCCCTTTTTACGTATAACTTTTTTATGTATGACAAAACTTTAAGGTTTTCGCCCAGATACGGGACCCAAAAATGTAAAGTAACAGTGTTTATAGCTAAATCCAAACATGTTGGTAAAAATGAATATTATCTTCAAACTGATAATAATAATTAATTTCCGGATAGGTAGATACAAAATTTTACCACAATTGTAAATTTTCTCGCGCGCTGATTGGTTAAAAAAACGTCGTAAATGAGAGGCCATACCAACAAATGGCGTCATGCAAGATTTCGTGCAGTCTATTTCCTAGAGTTTTGTGAGTTTTGTAGTAAAAAACAAATTTACGATGGTTKAGCGTGGTATGTCCTCTTATTTACCACGATATGACGCCAAACGTTGGTCAAAATTAGTTATGGACCCACTCGGCTTACGCCTCGTGAGTCCATAACATTTTGACCAACTTTTGACGTCATATCGTGGTAAATAAGAGGACATACCACGCTCAACCATCGTAAATTTGTTAATTTTCCCATACCGGGAGTCGAACCCGGGCCGCCTGGGTGAAAGCCAGGAATCCTAACCGCTAGACCATATGGGAAATCACAAGAATAGTTCGGGAAAAACAAATTGTTCAAAATAAGGAAAAAAGGATAATTGAAGCATACTTGTTTAGGAAAAAAGTCTTTATGAAACTCAGCAGGAAAAAATAGTGAGACGTATATATATAAAGACGTATTACAGTAAGTGTCGTATCATATAACAAGCGAATTATTCTCATATTTTACATTTAGAACGAAAAAACCAAGAAAATTCTAAAATACACTTAATTAGTTATGCTAATGACTTAGTTGATATTGACAATTAAAGAAAACCAGTAACAATAATTGCCCTCTTCATCACCTGTCGTTGTGGTGTTCGGCCGTGATCGTATAGTGGTTAGTACATTGCGTTGTGGCCGCAATAACCCAGGTTCGAATCCTGGTCACGGCACTTTCTTTTTTCTTGTAAGAAATTCAATAATTTTGTTTTTGATAACTGAACGATTTTTTTTGCGCAACAATTTTTCGAAATAAATTTATATTTTAACAAAACAAAGAAAAAATATAAATTATTTACAATTTTTTCAATCAACGGGTTCAAAATATTTTAAATCAAATTTTAAATAGTGCTAAAACTTAAAAATATTTCATTTTAAATAGAAATGAATAAGCAAGGAGGAATATTTTATCAATTATAAAACCACGAGGCTTAGATAAAAAAACTGGATCTATACGCTGTTCGACGTCCTGTTCAACTTGATGTTCTTAATAAACTGCGCATGCTCAAGACAGTGAAAACGTACAAGACCGAGGAGCTCTGGGTACGAGGCTCAAATCATTCGCGATTTTTTTAAAGCGAGCAAACAGCTGACACAAAACTAATATTTAATRATTTAGGATTATATTAACTAAATTACTTATAGGATTATTTTGACCTTAAATTTAAAGCTCGTGACAACCTCAAAGTTTGAAGACAACTCAGGCAATATTGTGTTCGCTTGAAATATCAACTGATTTCAAAACTTGGAATACTTCAAATTCGATGGCGTTACTTCTCGTTACCTTATAATATAACCAACTTTTTATCATAAGTTGTTAAATATCTCTCATACTAACTTACCGAAGCTCGGATATCTTCTTCGATTTCTTTTCGAAGTGCGTCCATTTCTGTGATAACATCAATATATTATTAATGATAATTGATAGTTATTAATAGTATAGGACATAGGTAATCACATGTTAACAAAGAGTGGATTTTCTGCCGCTGAATTCCGATTGGAATGTAGGAGTTGATTCTCAGTGTTGAGGGAGGAAAACCGGAGATTACTAAATGTTAAAGAAATATTTGTACCTTCTTTTGAAAGTTCAGGCTTATCATCGTCATCATCATCATCATCATCATCATCCAGGCTAATCTTCTGGCCAGACTCAGCCGCTTTCAGCATTTCAAGCAGTTTTTCATTTTGTTCTTTCAGCTCTCGTATCATTTTTTCTGTTGGGTCTTCATTGACGGTAGCAGTTGTTTTGATCTGTTTAGCTCGATCAGCTATCAAAAAAATCAAAACACATATAATGAACGAACAGTGGAACATAAATTTATGGCTAAACTTAAAGCTAATTAAGTATTTTTAATGTTAAATCTAATGTAAGATGCCTGAAAATACGTAAAGATATTGTCATAATTCAGTTTTAAGTGACACATCTGCGTGCATTCTCAAATACTGCATTATGTTTCGTTTCGTTTCTTTTAAAGAGTCTTAAAGATTTCATCACGGATGATATCCTTAAACGGGATATTAAACAAAACTGAACATGCTAGCTCTAATCATCATCACCTGTCGCTGTGGTGTTCAGCCGTGATCGTATAGTGGTTAGTACATTGCGTTGTGGCCGCAATAACCCAGGTTCGAATCCTGGTCACGGCAACACATTTTGTTGCCAGCTATTATGCGATATTGGGAACTTTTTTTCCCAGACAGTCTGTTCCTCCAGCAAAATATAGCCCTATTTCAAAAAACATTGTCGTTCCGAGATGTAAAATTAGTTAAATTATATTTTTTCTGGTTCAAATACTAAAAAATCACATTTCTACTCTCAAAAATCATGCCCCATGTACCATCCAATCTAAATAGAGAGAGAAAAYACTGAGGGGAAACCAAGAGCTCGTGTCAGTAAACTAATCCCAGGCAGCATTCAGTTAAAACTGGGAAAAACGCTTTGGATGAGATTGCTTTACTTATTTCAGAGTCTCTGGAGCTGGGGTAGCTGTAGAGACAATAGAGACCTTCTATCACGACGTTCTTACTTGCACGGCAAACCTCACACTGCAGTTCAATGTCAGGCTTTTTCCGTCAAACTTTTGCGGGGATTTAGCAAGGCRTTATAACGAAGTTGTTGCTGGGAAAGCCGCCATATTGAATTTCATTGATTCTGAGTGTTTCTCCGTGTTTGTATGCGGACGTGTTTATGGCCCTAGCGTTTAGCGGTAAAACCTGATGCCAAAGGTCTCTGGAAATTTTCTCTGTTTGTTGACTCACCATATCTAAGAGTGGAAAGAGTCTCGTCATAGTTGATGTCAGCTGGACTAATGGCGGCAATCTGGTATTATAAAACAATGCACACAACGTAAGCAAATGTGAAAGGACCTGATCATGGAAAGATCTTCTCTAATACTTCAAAGTTACTAACGTAGAACAATTATTGTGAAAAAGAAAGGAGAGCCAGTAGGGTTGATGGAATATCCAAATGATCAATACACCAGGCAAACATGTGTCGGAAAAACACAAAGACGTGGCGGCCATGTTGGTAAAAAAAATGAGACGCTAATACACAAAAACTTTTAATTTGAACAACAATATGGCCGTCATGGCATGTATTCGACCAAGAAACCAAGTAATGACGGCCATGTTGGTGTACTCAACAAAAGTAGTGAACGAGTGTTTGAGGTACACATAAGAATTCAAAGACACGCCCGCCATGTTGGTAACCATAGACGATAGCGAGAAGTCTTTTGTTAATAAGGTTGCATGTACATGCGGCATGTACATGCGGTACAAGGCCCTTACAGACGGTCCCGGCAATCGTGCAACATTCAGTCAACTTTTATCTACACAATGCTGTGTCCTGAAAAATAGACATGACATACGAACTAGACAAATTATCTGACGTTTCCAATAATTTGACGAAAACTTGTGGAAAATGTGTAAATGCACAAGTGTAGTTCCGACAAATGTTGGCTGAATGTCTGAGAACCATGTCAAACGATGCGAACATTTTTAGAATAATAGAAATGTTGGTGTGACGTCGGGGAAATCTGGAAAGTTTATTCGAATTAGTCAAACTTGACCCAACGAGGGCTAAGAATCCATGGCGGCAAAAGAATCAAACAAGAAATCTCTTATAACAGATACAAACATGGCGGCCTTAACGTCATATTCCTACGACTAAGAATTCGAAGCGGCCATGTTTGTGTGCTAAGCAAAAGTATCAAAMAAGAAATCTTTTTTGACAGATAACCCGACATGGCGGCCATGACGTCACATCAGTGACCATGGCGGTCATGTCTGTGTGCAGCCATGACATCGGCTACATAAGAATACGAAGACACGGTCGCCATGTTGGTGACAATAAACTAATTTCGTTAACAGAACAGCGGCATGGCGACCATGAAGTCACATCTTTATAACGCTAACTAAAACGTTTTATACCAACATGGCAGCGTTACTAACACACCCAACAATCAACCCAGAACTCTCCTCATCCAATCAGAAGTACGTCCACCAGCATCATTAACTACTTCACTTACCATAGCTGTCTTACTGTTGCCTGCCAGAGCATTCTTCAAAAGCCTCGTCAGAACGGAGTCTCTGTAAGGAACTGAAAATACAAATCACTTGTTTGAAGAAAATGAATCTTGAAAATGCCCGACTTAACTGATTAATACTTCCAAACTTTGTTACATTTCAAAAAATTTTTACTTTGTTTTAGTTCTAATGAATTACGCTATCTTTGACTAAAGATACCGGTAAATATTTTCTTATTTCCCACTAAGGCAGGGCAACAAAAAATTGCCTATAGACTCATTGAGTTGTTTCCCTCCACGGAAATCTTTAGTAAAAGGCGAAAGATTTATACGATTTGAAGGGAAACCAGAGTAATAATAAAGGTTACGGAAGCGACCGGTACAGCTAATTATTTCTACCGCGTGTGGGATGTGCTGTGTTAAATCATGCGCAAACGTTTGCGCTCACAAAAGTAAAGAACATGAAGCTTAAATTTCACGCATGCGTAGGTCAGTTATAACTAACAAAATATATTTTTGACAATGGACTAGAGTGCACTCTAGCTTGACCTAACTAAATCTGTTTGGTTAAATGTGCATTACTATTTCTTTATGTGATATACGTTAAGTTTTTGTCGGTTTTTTTCATTCAAATTCTCTTTTTTTAAAGATTAGCCCCGCCACTAAGGCAGGGCAACAAAAAATTGGCCTATAGACTCATTGAGTTGTTACCCTCCACGGAAATCTTTAGTAAAAGGCGAAAGATTTATACGATTTGAAGGCAAACCAGAGTAACGAAATATAGGCTCAGAAGCGACCGCTACAGTTAATTGTTTCTACTGCGTGTGGGATGTGCCGTAATAAATCATGCGTAAATTTTTGCGCTGGCAAAAGTAAAGAATATGAAGCTTAAATTTCACGCATGCGTAGGTCAGTTATAATCTGTTTTGGTGATATGTTTGTATTACTATTAAAATATGTAATATACGTAAACGCTTGTTATTCAATTTCTATTTAAGATTAGCCCCGCCACTACGGCAGGGCAACAAAAAATTAGCCTATAGACTCATTGAGTTGTTCCCCTCCACAGAAATCTTTAGTAAAAGGCGAAAGATTTATACGATCTGAAGGGAAACCAGAGTGGCGAAAATGAGTGTCCAGAAATAACAGGTATCACAGAAACATTTTACTAAGTGTGGGATGCTTTACGTTACATTTCACTAGTGCGCATGACGGGAAATGCATATGTACTGCACTTAAACACAATAAATAGTTATACACACAGAAAGAATCGAAAGGTTTGAAGTCTAATAGAAAATCTTTGAGAGGCAAAACTTTAAACACTTCTTTATAGCCCAAAATATTCCAATGACAATCGAACTATGAGTTACTTCTTTAAAATAAAAACCTTGTCGTCAAAAAAGATGCGCAAAAGGATCTCACAATAGATGCGTAACGACAACGCAAAGCTTAAAAACTATGAAAAAGAAAACAAAATCGAGTTCTGCTCAACTATGTGACATGAGTTTCGTGTAAAGAATTTGTTATTTTCCGTAAAAGATGATTATAGAAGACAAGTGTAAGAAAGAATTTCGAAAACGTATTTTGTAAAAAATATCAACAGAGTACTATAAAATATAACAATTTAAATTTCCTTGAAATGAATGCCCCGCCACTAAGGCAGTGCAGCAAAAAATTAGTCTACAGACTCATTGAGTTGTTCCCCTCCACGGAAATCTTTAGTAAAAGGCGAAAGATTTATACGATTTGAAGGGAAACCAGAGTAACGAAATAGAGGTTCAGAAGCGACCGCTACAACTAATTGTTCTTACTGCGTGTGGGATGTGCTGTGTTAAATCATGCACAAACGTTTGCGCTGGCAAAAGTAAAGCATATGAAGTCTAAATTTCACGCATGCGTAGGCCAGTCATAACCAAAGAAAAAAGTATTTTGGACAATGGACTAACTTAGCCTAACTAAGGCCCCGTCCACACTATGCCGGATAAATTTGAATCCGAATTTTTATATATTCGGTTAGGCCTATCGTCCACACTAGTCCGGGCGATTCCGGAACAATTCTTTACCGAAAACTAATTTTTTCGAATACGGTCTACAGAGTGGAAAAATTTGAAAACGCTGGCTAGCCGTATTAGTGTGGACGGAGAACATTTCGTATCCAAAATTTTTGGAATACGATGACGTCATGATTGTCATGGGAACATGGCGGGAAGGTAAAAATTCACCGCACGCTCATTTTTAGCTTCGATGCACATACTCAGATGAGCAATGAAGCGTTTTTGCCGCCTCTGATCGGATTAGTGTGGACGCGAAACATTTTATCCGTTTTCATGTGTGGACGGAAAACGTTTTTTTCGCTTTCGGTGTGAAAGTTGCGGATTCAAATTTATCCGGCATAGTGTCGGCGGGGCCTAAACCTGTTTGGTTAAATCTGTATTACCATTTGTATATGTAATATATGTTAAGAGTTTGTCAGGTTTTTTCATTCAAATTCTCTTTTTTTAAGATTTTTTAAGTTCAGAAGTGACCGGTACAGCTAATTGTTTCTACCGCGTACGTGCTGTGTTAAATCATGCGCAAACTTTTGCGCTTGCAAAAGTAAAGCATATGAAGCTTATGAAGCTTGTATATGTGATGTATGTAAACGTTTGTTATTCAATTTCTCTTTAACATTAGCCCCGCCACTAAGGCAGGGCAACAAAAAATTAGTCTATAGACTCATTGACTTGTTCCCCTCCACGGAAATCTTTAGTAAAAGTCGAAAGATTTATACGGTCTGAAGGGAAACTAGAGTGACCTAAAATTGTTCAAGAGACGTGGACTATCATAACCACATAGTACTACGTTTGGGATGCTTAGTGTGAACTTATTCATGGCTTCTTGTAAGTGCGCTTGACACAATTTACGTTACTACCACAAAATAACCACAAGATATATCATACTAAAATTAACAATTTTAAAATTTGGTCGGTTGTGTATTTTCTTTGCTAGTTTTAGATGCGAAATATATGGTAACTGTTTTGGAGGACGATGAGGTGGAAAGAAAGAAAGAAACTTATTCTACTTTTTACGATGAATGGACCACACACTACTTACCTCGTATGGCTTTTCCATTCGCTTTATCAACGAGAGCTGAAAGTCCAAGGAAAGAAGATCATCATCATCATCATCATCATCATCATCATCATCATCATCATCATCATCATGTATCATCATCAAGTAAATAAAAAAGTCGTGCAATTTTTTTGCTTGCTAGCTTTCAACTGTGCTGAAGTTTCGGACGTTCGTCTTTCGTGTTTACTCCGAAAAGAGCGTCCAAAAATTTTCTTTGTTTTTCACTTACAACACACAGTCATTATCATGTATCATCATCGTATATCATGGCCATCATCATCATAATATACAATCAACATTATTGTTACATCATGGAAATCCTGCGTGAAACAACACATCAAAAGTAGAACTTGATGATGGTACAGACCGTTTTCTCAAGGTTGCGTGCGCATCCAAGGAACTTGACAATCTCGTACCCAGAGCCTGCGTTTCTTCTGGCTTGCGGCGAAGAACGAAGGCTCTGGCATAATCCATATTTTGGCGCATGCGCAATTTTTTTATTTTTTTATTTTTTGATAAGAATTCATAAAGTTGATTATTCTCTTATTAAAAGATAAAACTGTCTCCTCAATTTTATTGAATTTGCGTTTCTCAATTTTGTGGCCCGTCAAGTTGGATGCGCACGCAACCTTGAGAAAACGGTCTGTAAGCCTTTTCATAGTTTAAGAATCGATTCCAATGCGCATGCGATTTTATCCCGAATTTCTCATCTTCTTTTGTTTAATTAAGAACAAAAGAAGGTTTAGACAAAAAAAGGTGAGAAATTCGGGATAAAATCGYATGCGCAGTGGAATCGATTTTTAAACTATGAAAAGGCTTATTAGTAGCGAATCAATTATACCACAGCAAGCCCGCTTTTACCTGATATAACGTTGCCAAGGGCCGAGAGAGACTGGTTAATAGCTGCCCCTTCTTTTAATCGGTCCCCAGTTGCTCCAGTAGATTCTGCTCTCTCGCTACGATACAATACGATAAGTAATATTTAGAGTGAAGGGTATAGTGAGATAGGTGTATAATCATCAACTTAACAAGATATCAAGTTTTTATCGAACCCAACTTTAATGCTTTACCGCCCGCTCTAAAGTTAACTCACTTGCTCAGTAATCTTAGAGCACATTTTTCATAATTTTTAAATATTTTTAGATGTTGTATATTTTTATTTTTCAATTAAATGCATGGTATTTTATCTCTATTTTTTATTATATTTTAGCGCATATATTTGTATTTTAATTGATAGTTATAGGCAGGGTCTCTTTGAAAAGCTCTACGGAGATATGGGCATCCTGAATAAATATCATTAGTATTTTTACACAAGTGAATATAATAAATCCGGCGCGCTCATTGGTCATAATTTACGTCTTATGCTGTTATACTCACCTACAAGTGAATATAACGCGCGCACGCGAACGCTCGTTTGTCGATTTGTGCTGCTTGCAATTGCAGAGGTAAATAGAATGTGAAACGAAAAAAACTCTCTCCTTTATTTATTAAATTCACTTGTGTTAAAGATACTAAAACAACTATTCGCCTCAGGCTCAGTGAATATATTTCACTTTAACCCTGAAATAACCTCACGATAGACTGAGGACCATAGTCGTCATTGAACGGGTTCATACCTGCCTGCCAGATCCACGAGGTTGATAAGAGATGTTTTAGCAGTTTCCTCTCCAGCGGGATTCTTTGTCTTCTGAACAAATGTCACTCCTACGATAGTATGCGCACGACTAAAAGACCAGTAAATATCATGAACAAACCAAACATACGGCACTCTGATTGGTTATAATAGATTATAAATCATATTTTCTGATTGGCTATGGGCGTGTGGTTTATACAATGGTATGCGCACGACTAAAAAGACCAGTAAATATCATGAACAAACCAAACATACGGCACTCTGATTGGTTATAATAGATTATAAATCATACTTTCTGATTGGCTATGGGCGTGTGGTTTATACAATGGTATGCGCACGACTAAAAAGACCAGTAAATATGAGAACAAACCAAACATACGGCATTCTGATTGGTTATAATAGATTATAAATCATACTTTCTGATTGGCTATGGGCTATGATTTATTGAGAACATTCAGCACACGCGCGTTTCTACTTCTTTAATACTAGAAAATATATTTTTCTCTCATCGCGTTAAAACTGGGGTAAGTCAAAACTCAAATATTTACACCATAAATAACTCGAAATGACGTCATCACGACATTGAAAAATGTAAAAAAAGATCATTTCACCACTTTCGAAATGACGCTATTGAACTGATATCATAACACAATTAAAACAATTACTTCAAATACACATCGTTACTTGAAATGACTTTTTCAATCTTATCCTCGAAATGACTTCATATATTAAAATGACGTCATCTATGTACACTGAGTTAACAAGAGATGTCATATTCGTACCTGCTAGTGGCGTTCATCTTTGTAGCAGCAACAGTCCTATTCTGTGTTCCTTCCTCCATTTTGTCCTCGATGTGTTCATAGGAACTGACAGCCACAGTCTTGAGTCCTTCAGCGTAGAAGCCTTTCTTTGGGTGCTGACGTACCCTCAACCCACCCTTCTTATTGGACGCTGGGTTCAGAAGATCTCGGACTTGCTCGTTGTAGATCTCTAACATGCTGAACATTACCTGAGACATAGATCACCTAGCATAAGGGAATCTACTATGATGATTGAATACCCCCTACTCCTCCCCCGATGAAGAAAATTTACCTGCTATATGATGGTTGGGTGTTAGGACGGGATGTATGTAACCATTGAGAATTATCCCCCTACTCCTCCCCTCACGAAGAAAATTTACCTGCTATATGATAGTTGGGAGTTAGGACGGGATTTATGTAACCATTGAGAATTATCCCCCTACTCCTCCCCTCACGAAGAAAATTTAATTGTTTATGATAGTTGGGTGTTAGGACGGGATGTATGTAACCATTGAGAATCATCCCCCTACTCCTCCCCCCATAGTCCCCCCGCGGTGAAGCAAGGGTGTTATGTATACCTCGTACTGTGCCGTTTCTCCTTCGTCTTTCTTTTTCTGGATTCCTTTGAATAATTCATCGCAAAATATCGGTACAATTCCTAAATAAAAAAAATAAAAAAACATGTTTTAACCACTTTATTAAATTAAAATATGAATGTGTTTTTTGGTTGATAATAAGGTCGATCCTCTTTGAGATATTTGTTTAGATTTTGCTTCATCATCACAAATTCAACCAGAAGAAACCAGGGGAGCTTTTCTTTTACCCGAAAAAAACCCAAATTCCGGTTGAAAAAAAAAAGATATGAGTCATCCCGATGGGAAAGTTCCAGAAAACTCGGCCTTCCGATTGAAGTAATCCACTTTTCCCGCTCTTTTTGGTTCTTCTGGTAGACGCGTGTACCGCGTGTAGTCAGAATTCAAAGTAAACGTTTCCCGCTCTTTTCTTATACCATTAGCAAACACATTTCTAACCGGGTAGATTGGTTTAAAATGGTAAGCGCCCCAGGAACTAATTCAGAATGAAAAGACCAAAGTCAAAACAAAAGTGCGTACTAGACACAACGAATTGCAGCGGAAGAGCTCGTGAGCACGTATTGGACTAGCTTATTTTTCATATGAAATATCCAGCTATGGTAGGTTTCATTACTTTGCGGTTTGAAATCAGAATTGTGGTCAGAAGAACTATTTCTTACTGCATCGAGCATGCGCAGTAAGAAGTAATGCTTAAACGCGCATGTGTAATTAGGCTCCCTCAACCTTCCAAGGATATTGGTTTTTACTCGTTTCTTATCATTTCTTGATAATATAAGGACCATACTTCCAGACATCGAGTGCTGAACCGTCGTATGGCAGCGCGAAGCATTTACGGCTACGCCGGAGATTTCGACCCCGACACCGCTATCCCTGGATTTACAGACTGATCAGGAAGCTCGGCCGAAACCTAAGGGAGAGGTTAGTCGGCCCCTAGACCATAGATGATTAACCCCTTGCTATGACCAGCATACCCAATATTTCGATTTTGCCGCAGATGCTTAAGCACCGATGATTACCCCATTCCATGTGGGATGCGTTTTGAAAAGCTCGCTGAAACATACACGCATTTTACACAGCCGTGGTGCAGAAAATGAAAATTTAAATTAAATGAGGTCAGGAAATTGTTTAACAGTTATCTTGCGCAATCTCGAAGAAATCGAACTTGAATTTCTGGTTTGAAATGCTGCGCATACGTAGGAAACGTTCACTCACAAAGATGTTACTCAACATAATTTCTTGATATTTTCTCCAATTTTTGTCAATATAATATTTACTTGTATTTGTATTGTCACTTTGTTACTGTCTACCACCCAATACATGCATCAAGAGTTCCGCGCTATAGCTCTAAGCTAAGTAAAAATTGCTATATTTCAATTGTGATGGTAAAAGGGTAAATTTTACGCCGTGAAAAGATGAAAAAACTTACTGACGTTTCGGACGTTATTCCTTCGTCGGAGTTAAAAACAGTAAGTTTTTTCATCTTTTCACGGTGTATAATTTACCCTTTTATCATTACTGTTTCATTAGAAACATCGACGCAGCTCACACTAGTTCTTAGCTAGTTATCTCTTCTTATATTTCAAAACTTATCTAGGGATTGTATTTGTATTTTTCTTATCAAGACCATTCGCATTAGATAATCAAGTCAGAACAAGTAGCATTAAGCTAATTCCAAAATATACCAAAATATAGCAATTTTTAAGACCCACAATCCCACTTTTTGTTCCCTTGCGGCATGCGCTTAGAGCAGTAGCGCGTAACTCTTAATGTGTGTACCACCCAAACGTTTTACCCAGTCTCTTCACAATAAATCAAACCACGAGCTCCCTCGTATTTCTCAAGGTTACTTCGTATTCTGTCAAACAATATTTTAAAAAGACGATTGTGGAAAAGCATGTGATCTGGAACAGGAGGGAATTGTGCCCAAGGTGAAGAGTCTTAAAATAAAAGTTAATCGATTTGTTTGCCTCGACTCACCGACGCCTAATTATGTCATATTGCTTTTTTTGATTAAGCCCGAAAGGAAGGGAATCATAGCTGTTTGTGATCAAGTTCATAATTAGCATTCGATCTATAATATTTGTTATCGATTGGCGCATGTACCTTCGCTTTATAGCCCGTGCAAGTTCGAGTGAATAGATTGCAGTCGTTTTTCTTTCCTTCCTTCCTTCCTTCCTTTTTTTGTCTGTTTGTTTGTTTGTTTTAATCTTCCTTCCTTCCTTCCTTCCTTCCTTCCTTCCTTTCTTTCTTTCTTTCTTCCTTCCTTCCTTTCTTTCTTCCGTACATTTATTTATCTTATTCACCTACTTACTCATTTATATTTCTTTCTTAGTTCCTATCTATCCTTTCATCTTTCCTAGAAGAGCCTAGAAAAGCGCAATTGCAGATTTCGCTTCACCAAGCTTTCGTCACAATCATCCATAATAATGCGTCCGCTTCTGGCCGCTAGCAGTACTGACATGTACTAACGACGGTATACGACGGCGACGGTAATGCTGATTTCATGCATGCTAATTGTTTTAAATCATGATACCGTGACAGTGACTACGTTTTTCGCATTTAAGAACGTATATTATAAAGTGTACTAAAGATATAATGGCRAGTACCTCTGTTGACTCCGTACCCAACGATAGACCAGGATTTGCCCGAGCCAGTCTGACCATAAGCAAACAGGGTACTGTTGTATCCATCCCATGCATTCTGAAGAACTGATTGTCCAACATCGTCATACACACGTCTCTGGAAAATAATCCGAACCCAGACCCAAACGATGAGATGCAAGTACACTAATGTCACTACTGTCACGACCACTACACCACCCTTGATTCCCATAGACAACAATTCTGTTTGTGTTTCATGTTTGTGTTTCATGAAGCAGGAAGGGGAGGCTAATATTTCAAAATCTCTTCCGATTACAGAATTTTATATCAATTATATAGCAAATAAGCGAATAAATCAAAAGTAGTGGCAAAATTATTGGTGGGGCTATAGCTCCTCAGCCCCCTAGCTCTGCGGTCCCTGTATGAAGGCATTGTGTAACATTATCATTGTATATCCAAATATATTTATGCTCACTGGATGGCCCATTCATTCCTTAGAGGGGTGGATTTTGGGGGGTATTTTCAACTGGATGGACAGAAGACAAACAAGAGACTGTGGTTGAATCCAAGTCGTGACTGTGTGCATGTGTGTGTGTTAAGGGGTTGGGGGTAGGGTTCAAAACATGTGCTCAAAAAAATTAGGGTTCTGACAAAGATGTGCTTGATGTATAGTGATTGCAACACCCTCCTGCCAATCCCCGACGTTTTTAAAGTAACTGACCTGATCGGCATAGTAAGGTGCAACTCCTCCAAGATACCCAGTGTCATCTTCTTTAAACCCATCATGTGACCAATAGCTATAATCAAAAGAAAAGCTTCTTGGCTCTTCGCTTGGATCTTCAGGATTGATTAGCTTGGTGGTGTTGCCAGACATCTCAACAATGAGGGTTGCATTCCTCGCTCTTTCTCTTTTATTGTGTGAAAGGTTAAGAAAAACAATAATGGTGATAGAAGCACTGATGACTGATGTATGTTTGAGGATGATGTGAAAGCTGAATATATTATGCATAATTATTGACAAGGATGATTATAAATGATGATGATGAAACATGTGATGATGACGATGATGACGGTGATCATGATGTATGATACATGATGATGATAATACATCATAAGATGAAGACAATGATGATGGTGATCATGACAATACATGATGATGATGATACATGATGAAATGAAGATGATTATTATTATTTTTTTATTATTATATATTATGATGATGATGAGGATAATAGTAAATAGAATTGACTGAACAAAAGGCTAGGTGAAATAATGAAGCCATTTAGATATTTTTCTTCAAAATCAAAAATCAAGTGCTAAAAAAAAGGAAAAATATTGAACTTGAAAACATTCAATCTATAAATATACCTATACTGGCTACTTAAATTAAGATTTCAAGATGTGTTGTATTTCAAGAGGAAGTTGACCTTTTTATACGAATGTTTATTAGCCCTGCAGGTATTAATTGACTTAAAAAGATTAGTGGCTTCCTGAAAATATTGAATGAATTTACCCTGAAGTAAGATTACGTTGTAGCAATCATGGGACATAATTATCAATATGAACAACATTTGATTATAAAGACAAATTAACCCCAACTTTTTATATTGGTTTTTTGAAAAAGAGCAATACAAATAGGAATAGAATTTAGGAATTAAAAAAATAAACTGGAAAGAAAGCAGAGAAAGAAGAAAAGTGAAATATTTTTGCAATGCATTTTTTACCACAGAAAAAAATATTTAGAAAAAATAAAAAATAGAAATCTAACATATTTCCATGCTTTACGCGATAAAGTATATATATACAGGTAAACATATTCTTTAAGCATATAATTATTTTATATTCAAATTTCAAATCTCTCAATTAATCAATCAAATTAATTAACTTCATTGACTTTATTTTGAAGAATTGTGTCCTAATCTTACGCGATACTTGAACCTTAGGCTCCCAAGAGTCTCTAAGACAATCATAACGACCGAGAGTTTAGCTTTAAATCCCTAAAAACAGTTACATATTGGAAAAAAATATATGTGCCCTGGCCTAAAGTATCATCACTGCGACATCACTGCTACACACATTCTATGTAAGCTTATATTCTTAACAACAATGAAATAATATTATTGGAATTATTTCTGCGTTATAATATACAAATAATATGAAGGAGACAGCTTTAAAGGATATAAATGGTCGAACACGGACAGCGACCTTTACGTTTTCTGCCATCTTTTAACTCGTAAATTAACGATGATTTATAGTGTCTCAGCTTGATTGCTTGCTTGTCAACCAGTGAAAGTATAAGACTCCAGTATTTTCTTGATGACCAGAAGCGATATTTCTTTTCGAATATCAATTTTCCTGTGCGATCTTAGGAATCAAGTTGAATATTAACCGTATACGGTGTTTTTTGAAGAAGATTAGTGGAAATAATAGGCCTTGAGAAATAATAACCTTGTTGCTATGACTGATCAAACAAAAATACTGCACCGTGACAAACATACAAAAACCACAGGACCCCCAAGAGCCGTAAAAAATCCTTGGGGTTGGGGAGGGTAAATCATCTTAAAGCATAATATATTTGTCGAAAAAGATTTTAAACCCTTTTGGATAATAATTGCTTACAAAACTCTCCTTATTTCAATTCTTTTGGAGAGTTAAATTCTTTTTTAAATCGTTTGCTAGACATAATTTAATTGACTCATGATCAACAGCTAAGTTGTCATGGTAACAAGCTCAAATATTATTTTGAACTCTGTCTGATCTTGAAACCAATTTTATATTTTGAATTTCGCTTTTTTTGAAGCTTATAAAAGCTTTTGTTTCTTTATTGAATTGTTTCAAAGCAAGTAAAAGAGTATCATACAATATAATCATAAAATGCTTTCTTTTAGCTTGCATTCCCTCCCCCCTCCCCCCTAAAAAAATTTAAATATTTTTTATGTACATAGTTTTTTCATAATCGCACTATATTATGGTAGCTCAAGTGTTTAATTTGGAAACTGTAAAGCATGTTTATCAGAAAGGAGAAAAACGGATGAGGATGAGTATTTTTTGAATAATATGAATGAATGATGAATGATCTCTTGGGGTTAATATGATAATGTCCTTACCGCTTTTTTCAATATTATGCCAACTCAGTAATTGTGAGTTGCCCATTGGAAATAGGTTTTTCACTTCTGCCAGTCAAAAATATAAAAGGTAACAAATACCAGTAATTTCTTTAGATTGATGGTTTGGAACACAAAATTTCAGCACACATCTTGCAACTTTTGAGTTCTCATAATAATGAAATCTGCAGTAAAAACCACTTAAAGATGGTGTCAGTATAACACTGAAACATTGTTCGTTATTTCTCCTTATATTCATGATTAAAAACAACCATCAAATCATGACGCAGATAGTCCGACGAGTGGTATATAAGAGACACACCATCCAGTCTACACCATTGCCTGATGAAGACTAGCAGTCTACAAATGACCCTCAATGAATAAGTATCTAAAAACTACTTGTTCACAAAACAGTTTTAATTGGTAATAAAACTGACAACTAATATCCTTGCTGTTAAAAATAAAACTCTGTTAATCTATTGAACAATTACAGTCAAAGCACCTCAAGCGTGAACACATAGAGGTCATTAATGACTTTATTTTTGGATTCTTGATTTCATTATTCGATTCGAACATTCATCATTGAAAACGAATCTTCAAAGCCTGGCATATACAAAAGCCAAGCATATATGCAACTGAAATGCAAAAACAACTTTTTGTGCAAGGAATATGTAATATTAATGACTTACCTTCTGTTTACGCTATAAACAAGAGCCAACAAGCCAAGTTAATCGAATTTTCAAATTATTATTTTTTGAATATTGAATATTTGTTTTCATTAATGAATGAAGAATGAAGAATCCAAAAATAAAGTCATCATTGACCTCTATGTATTCACGCTTGAGGTAGTTTGACTGTAATACACAGGTCTGTATTAGTAATCTATAACCTCTCTGTTTGAATTATGCAGCCTTCAAATGGGATGTTACTAGTGAAAACAAAGGAAACAAGCTGCTGTATCTTTAAACATTTTTATTCAGTAAAGAAAGATAAAAACAAAGAAGCCAATATCATGTACAATATTACACACTATCTTGTAAACTGTTGGTAATCATGTCAAACAAGAATAATTTAACTTTTGTTGATTATGTGGTTGCAGGAACTCCTCCTTGGTTCTGAAGTTGGGCTTGTATCTTCATATTCATTGTTTCAATGATAGCTGAGGAAAACAAGATATAGAAACCAAATTATAATAAGAGTGGAGGCACTAAACCCGTGAATAATATTTAGTACTAATTAGTAGTATTTCATACAGAATCCTTTGTTTCCTATTGTTTGATTATCACTATTTTAGTACTAAAAATTAGTATTTGTTTCACGGGTTTAGTGCGAGCACTCTATAGCCATCATCTATGCACCTACCTATCCACTAACCCATCCATCCATGCGTCTATCAACCCATCAGACCATGCAACTGTTGTCCATCCATCCATCTTTCCATCCACCCATCCATCTGTCCATCCACCCATCCATCTTTCCTTTCACCCACCCAGACCACTATCTATTAATCAATCTTAACTATTTCTACATGCACTCACCCATTTATCTATTCATTCATCCATCCTTTCATGGATGTATCCCTTCATTCATCAATCCACCCACTGACACCTCAATCAATTCATCCACTCGACCACCCCAACCCATCAATTTGTTTACCCAATCAAACACTCATCCATTTATTTGTCTACTAACCCTTGATCTTCCATCCACTCCATTTCATTCCATTCATATATCCATTCATCCACTCATGATCTTTTTCATTCATCCTCATCCATTCAATGCCATGCATGCATCCATCACATTTCAGTATGATATACAGCTTGAACATTTCACAGCCATAAAATCTGCTACTGTATCATTTAACTAGCTACATGTATTTCAACAAACCTTGTCTCATCTTGTGTTTTTCTATTAAAACTGGCTGAAGTTTTTCAATCTGATTTGTAACAAAATCCATTTTTCTTTGAAAATAAACCTCTGCTTCTTTGAGATCCTGAATATACAAGTTTAGTGGATGAGTATTAAGAGTATAATTAATCTTTATCCAACTGGTTTGGATAACATCAGTCTCCTAAATCGTGTGAATAAGAATGAAAAGAAATAATAAAATAAAATTTTAAAAAAAGTATAAGATATGCAATTTATTGAAGCAGTCCTTATAGCTAGGTAATAATCTTTATCTTAATCAATGATACTTACTTATTTGTCTCGCCATTGAGGGTCATTAATTTGTAGAAGGACCATGATATTTTGACTGTAAACTGCTAGTCTTCATCTTTGCCTGATGAAGACTAGCAATTTGCAGTCAAAACAACAGTCCTTCTACAAATGAATCTCAATCGTGAGACAAATGAATTAGTATTATTTATTACAATTTTCATAATAATCAATAATACTTTTTATTCTGTTAATCTTTATCTTACCTTTTCTGCGAAGTAACCAGTACCTATATCAACAATAACTGATTTGATATTTTCTAGAGTACCAGGAACATACATCTATGACTTTGAATCAAGGAATCTCAGTCTCACCAATTGATACTTCTCTAAGAACAAAGTGGTGTGGCACCACTCATGAATCTTTATGAACCTTATGCATGGAAAACTCTCTGCCCAGGGTTGACTTGGGATCAATTTCTGGACTATAGGCCAATCTTTATTTATGTTTTTTCTTCATTTTGAAAACACTATAAATTATAAAGAAATGTATGGTCGTGTGGTAAGACTTGCCATACAACCATAAATTTCTTTGTAATTTATAGTGTTTTCAATAAACTTTTACTCCCAAATTATTGAACATATTAGTTTGCTAGTTGCTTGAATCTTTTTTATGCTATTGAGGAAAAAACGTAAATAAAGATTGGCCTATTGGCACCTTGTATGAGTACTGTAGAGTCTACTGGGTATTTCCGTCGATTCCAGGGTTTTCCTCACAAAAACGTCTACACTCTATTCATATTATTTGTTTTGTGAGCCAGCCATGCAATGATATAAAGAAACTCAGAGGCTGTTTGAGGGTTTGATAGAATTGAAGGCCTTCAAATAATGAAAATCATATAGTTTTCAGATTGTCTTTCATTAAAGGATTTCATCACTATTGTGACGTTGTTTGCGTTCGGCGAGCGGTTTGATCGACGAATAACACCTTTCTGATCAACAATCTTAAACTTTACTTTAACCTTTTCTTGTTTACATTGATTTACATTGATCAACAATAAAAAAGGGATCACAAATGGGAATCAAAGGGATCATAAAGGATCATAAAGGGTCATAAAGGATCATAAAGGGTTCGAACATTTGCCCGCCAACCTCCCTTCTCTCCGCTCTCGACCATGTGCTTCTATCCCATAATTTCACTCCACAGGTAACCCATTAACAACTATGAATATATATTTAATCTGATTCATTCTAATAATGACATCCCCAGTGATGCAGAAATGTCATATGCATGTAAACCATAGACTAATTTTCAATATTTATTGTTATTTACTAGTAAGTAATATTTTATTATTTTTGTCATTAAAGGATACAGAACTACTTAGAGGAACCAAGATCGGCTTCCCTGAGAATAAAACAGAAAAAAATAATAAAATTATTGTTATTTACTAGTAAGTAATATTTTATTATTTTTGTCATTAAAGGATACAGAACTACTTAGAGGAACCAAGATCGGCTTCCCTGAGAATAAAACAGAAAAAAAATCCACATTGAGAAAATAAATATTGATGACATCGAGTATTCGCTTTGATTCTCTACTACATGTACACTATCTTTACATTAAAACAGTGCTATTCTCTACTTTCACATCCCCATAATACTTTGCGTCTTTGGGGGGTAACCAGAGGGTAAAAACCCACTTATTTTGCTGAAGGCTGATCAGACAATGTTGACAATACCTTGTTTGGTATCCAAAGATAAAATGAAGAAGTAAAAAACAGAAAAAGATAGAAGCTTGAAGACGTTTAAGGTAAATTTTAAACATTTGTTTGTAAGTGAATACATTTTCTGTAAGACCAAAACTCTTCATGATCTGTACACGCAAAAATAACTTGGAATAAACTGATAATCAGTATTGTACAGATAAAAGCAGGTATAGTATAAATTCGATTAAGAAACTTTTCAATTTGGGACAGTTTTTTTGATTAGTTACCCTCCAAATACGCAAGGCATTATGGGGATGTGAAAGTAGAGAATACTAAAAGACTGCACTACCCCCTCCCCCCAGAGGACCCCTCCCTATACCTATATCTCCTAAGGCCTGTCATTTATGAAATGTACAAAATTGACTGTGATTTTAACATTTTTGAGCATTAAGTTAAGCCAAAGCCCTATGAACATAAATATTTATCTAATTCAATCAAATGTAATTTGAAGGCATTCACTTTCCCTCCAAACATTCTGCAAATTTATAAAATTGAAGTCACGTTTCTTGGATTTTAAGCTTAATACTTCCAACATAACTCGAAATCAACTAACAGAATTTGAATATCCTTAATAATCCTTAAATATCCTTAATAGTAAAATGGTACAAAAGTATGGTTTATCTTTAAGTATTTGTCCTTTACCTGTGTCTTGTAAGGACAACTTAACAACATTTTCCTTTGAATCTTTGAACTTTTGCTGAGCCACCTTCAACTGACCCATCGAATCACTCAGCAATTTTATCTCCTAAACGCAAACGAAGAGAGCTAGAATTAAGAATAGCAAGAAAACAAACGATAAAAATGTATTTGAAGTTAATTACCTCTTCTAGCTGTCCTCTGAGCGCTTCTAAATGAGGAATTGCTAGTTGACTTATCTCGACAGTCTGCTGCGCCATGTTGGTTTATAACATAGACTACCACAGGAAGCCCAATAGGACCATTGAAGCTGAATTTTCCAGCATCCAAGGTTTCTTTTTATCTATTTTGATTATTTTTTATTTTGCGTTGACCAGAACATATAACTTTTCGATTATGAAAAAGAAAAATAAGCTTTAAAAATAATTACTTTTTGATAGAGGACGTCAAAAGGAAAAGTTTTAACTAAAGCTTCAAACTCTCCTTTAACATAATCGAAAAGTTATATGTTTTGGTTAAAGCAAAACTAAAAAAGAAATAAAAAAGACATCAAGATAATAAATGGAAGAATATGGTTTGAGAGTTGATTGAAAAGTCCTTTCACTGGATGTGAACTATAAAAAGGATCTTTCACTGGATGCGATTTGACGAGATCATGTGTGATTTGATGAAAATAGAATAGAATAGAATAGAATAGAATAGAATAGAATAGAATAGAACATTAGCAAATGAAATGTGATATCCAGCTTTTATTTCCAACCAAAAAGGAGTCAATAGATGATCACGTGGGCGGGTGATTGGCGCGCATTTCTGGCTGCGCATTATCTCTCCGTTGTTTATATTCGATTGTCTTTATTCCAACCGATGTCTTTATTTTCGCTCTTTTTAGTCATTTAAACACCTGAATCTTAGACTTTAGACCAACGGTAAGTATCATTATCATTCCTAAAGCCATTTTTTGACTGCAAATTCGGTGACCTTAATAGAAATGATCTTCATTTTTATTCAAGCGTACGAAAAACATGCCCAACAACTGTCAAACGCGATATTTAACTCATAAATACCATTCTTTTTGTTGCTGTTTTTCATGTGCAACCACGGTTTTCTTTTAAATTAAACATGCCGAACACGAATATAGGCCATAAACAATTTTATTCGTAAGAAAACTAGACGAAAGAACTCATATTTTTCGTTTAGAGTTTTGTTTTCACCGACACGTGTGTATAATATTCAGTCCTCTTGTCGATTTGAAGTCTTGTATAAAGCTCCACAAATGGCGTAAATTTGAATTGCAAATCTCTTCGTATACTTATATCTTGAAAAGGAGGAATCTTCGTTCAGTATGCTAATGACATGCAGCTTTTTATTATTCTCTTTGAACACTTTTTTCCTCTCTTAATGACTTTATCCTGAAAAAAAATTAAGGGTTTCAAATTTCGTTTATCGGTGTATTTTCTAAATAAATAAAATATATTTTTTACATTTTAAAAGTAATCTTTTTTTAACCCCCCAAGATTTTAAAGTACCTTCAAATTTATTTAAAACTTTATTTCATTTACTATCATTTCAAACTTGATTTTAATTTCGGAATTTAAATTCCACTACATTTTCCCTTTTAGAATACAATATTAGTATTTTGATATTTTCCCCTACAAAACGCAAGTTTTTGTTAATAATACAGCGATCGAAAGCAGGTTTTTATAAAGCTAACAGATAATAATTTATAGCTGTGATTTTGATTAAATACCTGACATACAAGAAAAAAGACAAAAAGAAAAAGAAAGAAAGTCAAATGGCTGTGAATGCCAGGTGGCCCTACATCAAAGCACTTATTATTTTGTTTGTCAAAGTCAAAATTTTTTTGCCTGCAGAATTCATTATTATTATTATTATTTTGGTATTTGAAAATATAGAATCCTGTTTAATGTTTTCCCATGCATTTCAGCCATGTTATTTCACTCATTTCTTCGAAAATAAAATTTTATATTTTAGCCTCTGACATACTAATTTATCTTAAATCTTGTAGTGTCAAACAAAAAATTCTTACTCAACGGGAATGAATGACACATGAGATGAAATGAGAAAACGTTATGCCCTTACCTAATTAATCAAGTCTAATTTTGTGCATTATTTTTGTTTTACGGATTTTAAAGAAAAATATTTGTTATTGAGATTAAAATTTTAGACTTGGAGGTTCAAACAGCGTGAATACAGATTCTCTATAAATGAGTAAAATGAACTAATATTTCTTTTCATCAATACTTGGGTATTTTTATTAATAATATTAATCTTGCATAGATTTTTTGATTTTCTCAAACACCAAAACAACTTCAAGGCTGATCTAAGTCAAGGCACAACTGTGTAGTTCAAAAAATTATCCATACCCCCCCACCCCCCAACAGAGGAATTTAGAATTTTGGAGGGGTGGGGAGGGGGATCAGAAAATTTTTTTACAGAGTTTGTATGGAAGAAATTTGGAATTTCTGGGGGTAGTCGGGGGCATCTTTAAAAAATTTCTCCATAGTGGGTGGGGTATGAATAATTTCTGGAACTATGAACTACACAATCGGAACTTAGTGTGTTGGGTCTTGCAGAAGGACAAGAAACTGGCAAATGCTTACCAAAATCCCTCATGGAATAGCAAAGGGAGCTAGAAAATCAGGGTGGATCCAGCCAAAAATATAAGAGGGAAGGGGGGTGGCTTGACCACATTTTTTGATCAAACAAAACTATATTATTGGCTGAAGGGGGTGCTACTGTCCTCCTTTGCCCCTCCCTGGGTCTGCCCCTGCATTTTTATTATGTGGATTTGATGGGATTTTTTTTCCTAGGGAAAATTCCTTGTAAATATTTGGTGAAAGTATCAAGAAATAAATGATGGCTCTCATACAGACGAAATTGGCATTGAAGATGCATTTTCTGAGCTGAGAATGTTATATAACACAGCAAGAAGTAAGGAAAAGATTATTCAACTTATATTTCAAGAAATACTAAATATAGTGTTACTAGTTGGTCCCAATGCTTGCTAACACATCAAGTACCCAAGAAACAAGTACCCAAGACACAAAACCAGATATCAACTCACTAAAGAATGTTAGCGTCAAAGAGATTAGTTGCACAGACCAAGCCACCTCACAAGACACAGCAGATGGTCAAAACGAAAATGGAAAGAAGCTTTCTTTAGACACAATATTAAAACAGGTTATCAAGACAGAACCTGGTGAAGAGCAACACGAAAGGAAGAAGAGTAAAATTTCTGTTAGTGAATATTTACAAACTACAGTAACTCATCAAAGTTCAGGTACTGGAAGTGTTTTAGAGGGAAAGAACAGCCTAGAAAAAACAGTCGAAAATGATACCAAGAATAATCCTATTCATGGTACTCTTCAGCAGCCTATCCAACAGCAGTTTATTCAACAGACACAACATATTTCAGTGCCGTATGTCCAGTTACAGCAGGGAGTAACCAGTTATATACCTGTTAATGGATCACAAGGAGTTTTACCTGGGGTAATCCCATTCACTGGGCCTGTTGTTGTCGTTGGAGGTCCTGGCCCTTTGCAAACTTATAAAACAGTTTTACCACAGGGAACCCAGCTGATTACCTCAACTACCGCTGGAACGACAAGGATTATTCCAGCTAATCCAGGATCTACACAGGTTGGTTCTATTCCTGACGTCCATGGAAAGACAGCAGTGGATAATGTGGCTATGACTCTACCAAGCTCTTCTGTTGCAACAACTCTAAATCAAAATGCTTCTCGGCTTTTAACTGTTGTTGTTCATAATAACAAAGATGTGCCTTCTAGTGAGGAAGAGCAGGGAAGAGACCAACAAGGTTTAGATAAAGAAATGCCAATCACCACAGATTATCTTATTTCTTTGGATGACAATACACCAGATGAGTTATCAAACTTTGCAAAACAATTCCGCCAGCGACGAGTGGCATTGGGCTTTACTCAAGCAGATGTTGGGGTTGCGCTTGGAGATTTTGCACACAACAATCTTAGCCAGACTACCATATGTAGATTTGAAGCTTTGCAATTAAGCTTGAGAAACATGTTAAAACTGAAGCCTTTACTTGAAAAATGGCTGCAGTCAATTGACAAGGAATCAAATCCCTCAAAAGATGAAGAGAAAAATGAGACAATGAATGATCAAATGTTACCAAATCAAAATGGTTCTTACAAGAAACGCAAACGGAGAACCATCATAGAAAAAACTGTTAAAAGTGCTTTAGAAAATTACTTTGAAAGGCAACCTCGCCCCTCATCAAGTGATATAAGCTCAATTTCTGAGAGCCTCAATCTTGAGAGAGAAGTTGTGCGGGTGTGGTTTTGCAACAGACGCCAGAAAGAGCGCCGTGTAAGTTCCTCTTCAGTACCTTTACTGTCCAATGAAGAGGAAGATGGTGATAATAGTTTTGTTGAAGTCAAAATGGAAGAGCATGAATCATCCAGTTAGCCTTCCTGTTGGTGCACATTTTTTCTCTTGCCATGGTACAATGGCTAACTCTCATGTTATGTTTTCGATGCAGCAAGTTCCTGCACTAAACCATTTTCCTGTACTTTGATTTTTTTTCTTTTTCCTTTTGTGTAGAATTCTCCAACTTCAAAGTGTTTACCTCCCCTATAAACAGTGGCGTTTTTTGTTGGCTGTGTTTGGTTCAATAATCAACTCTGTGGTCTTCAAACCTTCACATTTTGTCAACCCTGAAATAACCTCAGAGTTGATGAAAGTCATGGCATGGCTAACTCTTAGATTAAATTGGAATTTAGCTTGTTTTGCGGAAGGAGGAAAACCAGAGAATCCGTAGAAAAACCCTTGAATCAAGGGAGAGACCTAACAAACTCTACTGTGGAAGAAGGAAAAAACTAGATTATCTTTTGATTGATGGAATCCATTAAAAAAAGGAAACAAAAATTTGTTAGAAGTTGCAGAAAATTCATAAGTTCCTTTATGTCTATAGTATCCATAAGAACTGTGAGTCCTTAGATGATATGGGACTTCGAAAAAGATATGATTAAGACTGAAAAATATTATCTCAGTAAATATTCTTAAAACTTTTTCTTAAAACATTATTAGCATGCAGCAAGAATGTTAGTGCTTGCGTGCGTACTTCATATGCTGTATATATTAGCTAGTAGAAAAGTTATTTACATGATAGTTCAAAGAATTAGGAAAATAGTTCGAAATAGAACCTATCAGGTAATAATATAAAAAGGGATAGGTCTATTAGCATCAAATTATTACATTACATCTCTGTGTGACCATGAAACAATTTTTGGAGCTTTGTATACAGGGCTTTTCACAGGAAAAAAAAAAGGATTCCCAAATTCTCATCCAATTTCCCAGAGAGAACGAAATTGGGAACATGACACTGATTCCCAATATCAGTTTGTTGTTTTGTTTTTCTATTGGGTATTAGAAGGAAATTCCCAACAATAAATCCCAATGTTGGTGTTCAAATTGGGAATTTAAGGAAATTCCCAACAATTCCCAATTTGAGAATCCAGTTTTTTTTCCTGTGTTTAGAAGTAGCCAGCAGCTACTTGGATAGCTACTTTTTTTCCTATTAAAAACGCTATTATTTATCTATCGGATCACAGCCAGCTACTTCAGACGTATGACCATCCTCTCCAAAACATTCTGAAAGTCCTGCTACAAGGTGTAGTCCTGGCTCATTAACCTCATTGTATTCAGACTTCAAACTACATTTCCAAGTTTCCAATCATTTTCATAAAGCATGAATGATATAGTATCATTAATTGCCCTTTGTGACAAAGATTTTGTCTGGATTACCATTGATATTTTCATATTGTCTTTCATAGGTTTTAAAAACCTATTGTGGCCATGATTCCCTTTGTTAGATTGAAAATTTACTTTCTTCCAAGTAGCTGTCAGTTTTGACCATATTTTATGACGTCATAAATAAATTATAATTCATAGTAAAAAATTCTATTGAGCTGTATTATTAGCTTTGCCTTCGGCTACCAAATTTGTGTTATAAATTAATATATTATATGAAACAGAACATAGAGGCAACCAAACTATAATATTATATACTTCCAAAGCCAGTAATAAACAATATTGCTTGAGCACCAATGCACTTGTCTTCTTCGTGTAACTCTCATTGTGTCTTTCAGATGAGACATAAGTCATTGATCAGACTATAACTATCTATTGACAACTCTTTAAAAAACTCTAGCAAATGCAGGCTTTAAGCCTCCCTTCTGAGATCAGTAAACAAAAGCAGAAATCAGAATAACAAGACAAGCAATTCCTGGATTCAAGGCTAAGCCTGCATTCACTAGAGTCGTCAGTACCTTTCATGTTTTGATCACAAACCAGACAAAAAAAATCTTGCAAATTTTATCAATACCCTGATAAAACAACCTTTTTAGGGCATGACTAACTCACAAATCGAATCTTGAAACAACTTCTGGGCTGGAGGAGCGTAATTTTAATTGGGGGGGGGGAGCTAACAACTGCCAAAGGCAGGAACACCTAGGAAGGGTCTGAAGGCTAGCCCCACCAAAAAAGTTTTAAACCGAGACCCTTGCAAGTGTGATTTCTAGTGTTTTGAGGAGCATTTACAACGTGTACTGTATAGGCTATTGGTATTTTAAATAACAAGTAATTCACAATATGGCAGCAAAATTATTGGGTTCAGGGGGGGGGGGGCTATCCTCATTTCCTGTCAGTATGGTCATTCCTTCATTTCCAATAAATAGAACATTAACCAGATAAGAAATACTTTCTTTATTGCTGTTAACGTAAAAACATCTAAGCCATACTAATGTGCAACTAGGTATAAGTATAACAAATTAAAGTATTTCCCCATAATTTGAAAATCCTTAATACTAAATGGCAGCTGAATGACATCGGTAAAAAATTGCCATTAAATATATACTCAAATTTTAAGTTCTCTACATTGTTTCTTGGCATTAATTACATACACTGCGCCTGAAAATATTGGAAATGACATTTTTTGCTCAACTTTTAACAGTGGCTATAATGTAATAATCCATACATTCTATAGGCTATTGCACCACTTCGTGATGTAGGTCTGGTACGTAACAAAGCAAATTCAGTTCTAGGGGTTAAATTCTCTTGTCCCCCCCCCCCCCCCCCCCCACCCCTAAATAAATTAAAGCTTCTACAAAGAAACCATAAATGAATGCAGAGAAAGTTAGAGAACTCAAAACAGAAGCACCAAAATGACAGGGAAACCAAGATTCATGTTGATTCCCTATACATTCCTTGTTTTAATGACCATTCTTCAATATTATCAAAATGAATATGCACAGACATCATGTATGCTATCAAAGGTTGTAGCATTGTTTTCCCATTTATAGTTTATTAGGGTTGGAGAAATCACAAAAATCATAAGCTAACAGTGCACCATATACATGTATGTCTAAAATTCTGCATTCTATTCCATTGCTGTGAAGCRTCAATGTAATACCAATTTGTACATCTGGAGATCACATCTTGATCTAATAATGTTACCTTTAGTAAGGCTGCTGGTAAATACCCAATGCTTAGCAACCTTTATTAGCTGTGTTGGTTGCATAGCAACCTAATCAGCTTCCTAGCAACCTACCTGTCTATCATACCAAACCCAAATTATATAGTTATGGAAATCCCTTGCAATGACTTAGTATCAAGAATGCAAATTAACTGGCTAAAAATTTTTTTTTTCTATTTGGAGAAGAACGAATGGTAAACATTGTTTTAAACAACATATAATAATAATAAATAACCTGAATAATAAGAACTTATATTATTACTACAACATCCAACTACAAAATCATAATTTACTAAATGCAGTATATCATTGCTGATAATTATATCTGCAATATAGACTACACAGTCGTGACGTTGAATTGATATCCAAGGTAGCATGGCCTCGCAATACACTGCTCTTGCCATATCGTACCATTATTCATTCGTATAGATTCATATSTGTATATATATATATATAACCTAAATAAAAAGGTATGTTATATTGGTCATCTGTTAGGATGCCATGAATGTATACTTAATTAATAGCATTATTTTGTGTTTTTATTGTTACACAATGATTGAGAAAAATCTTTCAAAGGGTTACTTGGAACTAGTTACTACCATCAAATCATAAGATTTAAAATCATTAGAATATAATATTAAATTGGCATTAGTCTATTCTAAATTACCCTGTCGCACTCAGCATGTAGCAGTGCAAAAATGGTAATTAAACTGTAGACTCCAGAGAAGTTGCATCCTCTGAAACCCAGGTGTATAATTGTCCGTTGTTTCTCACTACCAAAAAGAATTCTGGTGGTTAAAAATGAGGATGAGGGTTTCCTGAGGATGGAGAAGTTTATTTAATAGTTAGTATTAAATGAGTTAGTAGACCTAAATACTCACTAGCGATTTATTTTTATTTATGTGCATAATTATCTCCTTCCCTTGCATATTATTTTGTTTTCTTTTTATCAGTAGACTAGAAGCTCGAACCCAAGTAGGATATTTAGGTCTAGCTACCAGAACACTTTGCTCATTATCCAGGCAATTTGGATCTGGAATTAAATTCCTATTTAAAGAAAATTGTCCTGCACTGTAAATGACAGGTTTGATAAGTAGTCATATGTAGTCATATGTATATATATTGATAAATATGTTCAAGGCATAGCATTTTGCTATAAGTATCCTAAGTTCCACCAGGGATAATTATTTATTCTGTATATTAAGTGCACTGCATTAAACCATGACCCTCACAACCTCATAGCATTCTGGAGAATAAAAGCAATACTCAAGAAAAGTGTAAGGAAACATATAGGGCCTTGAATTTGTTGCATGAAGGCTGTCGGCACAGCTTACCATTATCCTATGAAAAAATCATATCATTCTAAGAAAAACAAAAAAACCTAATCAAAAATTACACCAACAATTTACCAATTGGAAATCACAACATCTCCCAAAATAATACTTTCATTACCTACATGTATTGCTAAGTAATACAAACAACTCAGCTAATGCATACCCTACCAGAAAGCCTAATGATTCCTACAACAAGTTTTACGTCAGTGAGTTTGGGGTCTTGTTGCAAACACAATAGAACAACTATTCAAGTAGCCACTCAGGGAATTGTCAGRTTCAACAGAAGTATATATTAACTGCAGAAACCTTTCAAAATAAAAATAGCTGTTTTAAAGTAGAGTTTGGTTGCTTAATAGAAGTATGATTAATATAGTGTAAATAAAACCTTCTTTGGGACTTTGAAAAATACTGCTGCAAAATAGAGGTTAGCTGCTTATATTTAATAGAGGTATAAATTAGAGCAAAAACTTTCTTTGGGACTTAGAGGTTAGCTGCTTTAATAGAGGTTCAACCGTATTTCTATACATCCAATTACTYTTACATAGTGCAACCTGGCATGGCGGGCCACTAGTCAGAAACCACTAGTCACAAATAGCTTGTCTGTACTACAGGTTTTGCAGAAGGCATATAAAATATCTTCTTTTTATAATGATACCTACTAGAAGCCATTAATAATGAATTTAACCCCCTTTTTCCATTATTTACATATTTAGCAATTGTTGCATCTTCTTTCACTTGTTATATCAAAAGAATATAAAATAATGAAAACTGTGAGCTGTAGGGATAAAAGAGAGAGATAAAACTTCTTGTCTGAGTTCTTTGTTTTTAGTTAAAGATACAAAAATTGTGAAAAGTAAAACAAATGTGTAAGAAACTGAAAAATTACTCAAAAACTTTAATTTTTAGCAATGCAGCTTTCATGATTATGAAACAATATTGAAGCTTGATCTCTTTCCCTTCTGTAAAACAACAGTGATATCCCTGGTTATGTCTACTTATTCCAGTCTAGCATATTTTTTAAGTCACAAGAAAATTCTCTGTAGCTGAGGACATACAACCTAAATCACAAACTTGGTTATTTTACAGTGCAATAAATTAATTATTTAAGTCCTAATATCTTAGTTTTGCTTAAAGTGACTCTTAAATCCAGTCTATCAACTCTGTCTTTGAGCCAGAAAAAGTCAAACAAACAAAGCTGACCTACTGCTGCTAGTTTAAACACTGTTGCCAAGCAATAATACCAGTACCTAGCAACCACTCTGTTGTCTAGCCATAATACTGTTTCATAGTAATATTGTCCACTAGCAACAACACTGTTGCCTAGCAATAATACTGTTAGCTAGCAACAGCACTTTTGCCTAGCAATGATGATGCTGCATAGCAATATTAACACCTAGAAACAACACTGCTGCCTAGCAATGGTGATGTCGCCTAACAATCACTGTAATTTAACCTATAAACATTGTTTCCAAACAATTGCTCATAACAATGATATTTTAAAATGCTGTCTGACAGCATTAATTTTTATTCCCCCATTGCTGTAATGATAATTATTGATGGATAAGAACTGCAATTATTAAGTTGTTATTTTCATGTTTTTTTGTCTGTCAGAGTCRGTGTATCTGTACATTTGTCTAATGAAAAGCCATCTTTGAATGCATATTAGATTTGTTAGATGACTCGTAACTCATTACTATTTAAATAAGAATTTGGAATAATTTTGCAATATCTAGCAATAAATATCTTATTTTTGATTGCTCAAATAATTCATTTCTACAGACTTGTAATCTTGTCCTCAGCAAACAGATTTGCATGAATTGATTCTAAGTTGCAGCTTGGAATTGACTGGTATTTTTTGTCGTACAGGGCTTGTAGCTCCTTTACAGTCTATGAAGGCAAAAAATATCCCATAAACTGTGAGATATTACTTGGAAAAGATGAAATATTTGAAAGGAATGGAAATAAAAGGAAGGAAGGAAGGAAGAAAGGGATGTAGAAATGAGATGTAGAAATTAGTAGAAGACAATGTGGGATCAGAAATTTTGAGTAATTGTTCACTCACTTGAGGAAGAAAAGGGAATCGGAAGAAGAAGGGAGGATGGAATGTAGTAGATAGAGATGGAAGAAGTGGGAAAAAGAAAAAACGAACAAAGGAAGGCAAAGGAAGAAAGAATTTGGCTGAATGACAAATTCAACTAGCCAGAAGCCACCATGACTGACAACAAATTTGATTGCAGAATGAATAAATGGGCAATATAGCTGGGCAGCTTGGCTATGCTTACCTTGTCTTTGTCTGATTTCATCTGTTCTGAAATCTTTTGCTGTTCGACAATTAATTCTTCCTTTTCTTTTTCATGAAAGTCTTTCATCTGATAATAACAAAATACATTATAACATCCAAAACTTCAACAATTAAAATACAGAGACTGTATTACTGAATTAAAAATAATGAGACTAAGTATTAATTTATTATATGCTACATGAACATGAAATAGTAGAGTGCAAAGACTAGTAACATCTGTGAAACAATAAGTCTAATATATAAATAAATTATTAAATTCGCACTAGATTCATCTTGAACAAAATACTGCAACATGTCTATTTTCTATTGCTTAATCAGTTCTATTTAGGACAAATTAGCTATATTTCACAGATCAATTGTGAGTGCTCTACTATTATACTCAAACAAAATATTGACATTTCAGATCATTGAGAAAATATATGAAATTTATATTCTGCATTAATTCAAATTCTATAGTTATAAATTATGAATTAATTTAGACATTATGAATTATGACTGGGATAGATTTACCTTATGTCTTTCCTTGACTGACTGCTCAATATGCTTCTTGTTTTGTTCTCTCTTTCTCCTACAAAAAAGGTAAATAAGATAATGTAATCAAACCTGAGAAAAAAACAACATTAACCCACACACACAAAACTATATACAAACAAACAAACAAACAAGCAATTAGGCAAGCAAGCAAGCAAGCAAGCAAGCAAGCAAGCA